TTCCTAGGCGATCGGCTCCTGCTGTACATACTGGGTCGGCTCACACCGCCAAGCGTCCAAGAGAGACTGGCGCTCCACTGGGAGCGTGCAGATCCCAGGGCATTATTTCGGCAAAGCCCGCACAAAGGAATCCCCTGTCCAACCCTCTGAACCGCCAATGGGCGGGGCGGCGGGGAGCGCACAGCCGTCCGCAATGGATGTGGACAAAGAGGGGAGTAAGGGCGATGAAAAGAAGAACAAAGCGGCCAAAGAGGCTGCTGTAGCGTCAAAGAGCGCAAAGCCGCATCCGGCGAAAGCGTCGCGTCCTGAGGCCCTAAGCGGCTTGTTGGACGTGACACTGATCAGCGATGTACGGGAGCGTGATCGGGATATTTCCGATGACGAGTATTCCCCTACGAATGTGTGCATGTTTCCAGAATCATGGGAGGGCGCAATGCCGACCTCCGTAACTGAAAAGGCCGGAGGCTTTGAGCAGTTCAGAAACGAGCTCATGAGGATCCAGAGAATCCTGGATTCTCCGGCGTTGGTTGACCTTGGTAAGGTCGATCTGGACGCTCTGGGCGAGCCGCCCAGGGAGTACGTCTCGGATGAGGATCACGAGAGTCACGTAGATGATGATGGGATGGGCCCATATGTGGACAAGTTCTCATCAATGGGCGACCGCGACCTAGTGCCCTCAAAGCAGGAGCCGCCTTACTATGAGGCAAAGGCGTGGCGTACCACTGAAGAGGAAATTGAGAGGATGAAGAACCTTTTTCCATACTTTCGTGCCGAAAATTATCGGCTTATGTCAGCGGGGACTGGTCCCATAGGTACCAAAGCGCACGTACAGGGCGTCCTCCCTGCTGGTGCGTCGCTAGAGGAGGCACTGATGGCAAAGCCCGATGTGTGCCCGATTGCGAGCACCTACAACCTCACATACGAGGGTGAAGAGGTTGTGTTTGATGCACAGAGCGGGCAGCAGGCAGAATCGCCTGTCCTGCCGGCAACGACATATTCCATTTTTTCCCCGAAATTAAGGATGCGTCGGCGATGATTGGGCGAAGCTCCAGGGAATCGCAAATGCTGCTAGAAATTTTGTCGGGCAACACTGACCCAACGCGGTTGAACGTGAAGTCCGGTGAGCCGGCCCCCTTCTTGTGTGGGACGGTTCCAGACATTCTGGGAGGTTGGATGTCAATGACTCTAATCTCAACGCTCTTTGAGGCCCTATACGGGATCCACAAGTGCACGAGTGTCGAGGTGGCGACTTGGGCGGGTTCTCTCGCGAAGGAGAACTCAGCGTACCCTCCAGTCGAGCTCCTAATACGGACGGTCTGGAGGGGAGATGGCACGACTGTGCGCCCGAATGAGGTGCTGTTTGCGCGTTCCACCCTAGTCGGGAGGGACGTGCCGTTCAAGGTTTTCAAGCGTTGGGCACTGCGTGACCGAACGCCTATGGGGCCTTTGCTTAGGCCGATGGGAGCAGCGGAGGTCCCTTATACGGGATACGTGCTGCTGACGATGGCCGAGTATCGGTCCGCCCTCAAAACGAGGTGCATTCGGAGGCCCGGCAAATTCGCCATCACAGTTTTTCCCATGCGACCTGAGCAGGTCTGCAGGGGGGAGATCATGATTGGGTTGGAGGGCGCAAAGGTGCCTCTCCTCAAGTTGCCAAGCCCCAATAGTGAGGGCGAATTTTATGTTGACGATCGCGTCAAATACATGGACAAGCGCCATGTCGTTGTGGCCGTTGACCTAAAGTGGATGGCCATCGAGGAAGCCGCCGGCATCTATAAAACCCGACGCGGTTTGATTGCCGTGCGGGAAGAGATACATGCACCCTTCTGGCGCGCATGCTATCTGCACCAGGAAGGGGATGTAATATACATCCGTCCCTGGGCGGTCCGTGAGTTGAATGTTCAGGGACCGCGGAGAGGGGTGTCATTTTCATGGGACAAAGCTCCCATGCATGATTACTGGTGCCCTCGGTGCGCGCATTTGAACATGTATGGCACCATTCTATGCAATGGTTGCCATTTGCCGATTTTCTATCGAGAGTGGGTGCCAGGCACCGTCCGCTCCCATGTTAGGAGAGGGCAGCCAGTCTGGTTAGACGGACTCAAGGCAGTCCGTGCCAGCAGCTGGTATGAAGGGGAGACTGACGTGTGGGCTTCTCTCATGGCATCGGTAAACCCGATCCGCGAGGTGGTCAGCTGTATGATCTCCGGTTTGCGCTGTGCGCCGCACCTTGTGCACAATCCCAATGCGGATGTTGTGCAAGTTGCGTTTCAGGAGGTTGCAAAGGTCACCTCAAAGGACACTCACGCTTGTGTGCGTGCGAGTGATGAGGCTCTCGAGCGGTGGGTAGCGAAACAGCTGCTCATCGAGGAGAGCAATACTGGCGTCCCAATTCCCGACAATATGTCTGTCATGACATATTTGATCGAGCACCCGCAACAGGCGGCGCAATGGGGTCGTCATATGACGAGAAAGGGCAGTCTAAATTCAGCATTTGCCCTTTACCTCTCTGTGCATATTTATGATGCCTACCGCATCGGAATTGAGGACGGATATTTGGTTCCGCTGTATGGCCTAGGCGCCTCACGCGCGGACATCATAATGTCATTGGTGCAGGCTGAGCGACGCCTCGCGGACTTCAATAGTGAGGACCCAAGTTTTGATGCCTCCACTGTTCTTGATTTGAGTATCGACTCTCTGCGGGCCAGTGGTGGATCCATCACGGCCCCGATTGAGTATGCTGAGGCATACATTTATGTCGAAGACAACAAGGTTGACATGGTCCCCGCTGCACAGCGGGACGGCCAATGCGCCATTGTTTTTGCTGACCCGCCGACTGGGAAGCACCATAGGCGGGCAGCCACTCCTAGGGGAGATCATCGGTCTGCTACCCCGCGACCTGAATCCAGGTCAAAGGGGGATCAGCAAAAGGGCAAAGCCCCTGCGCAATCCTGGCCCAAGGGTGGAGGTCACAAGGGTGACCAGTTTCCAGGAAAGGGTCACAAGGGTGATCAGTACAAAGGCAAAGGTGGCCAATACGGCTACCAACAAGGGCAGTTCGGTCGTGGCGGATCCGCCAGATCGAGAACTCCCACTGGCGGGTATCAGCCTGATGCTCGCGGGTCGGGATACAAGGGTGCACAGGCTGCCCCTTTCCCGTTCCCGAGTCCGATGTATCCCACTTTCCCAATGGGAGGATACATGCATCAGCCCATGGCTGGCATGATGCCACAGATGTGGCCTGGCGCAATGCCGCAGGGTTGGCAGCCGCATATGCAGGGTGATCCCCGCGAGTTCGAAAATCCGAACTCGCCGCATACCCCTACCTGGGGTGACGATGACGAGTTGGCCGAGACAGTGCCTCCCCCCCCTGGGGACTGGAATGTCAGCAAGGGGAAGGGGCGGCACGGCGGTGGACGACATCGGTAATACCTGAAGTCCGTCCATGCGTTTTGCATGGCTGCGCCAACGCGCGCATGCTTTCATTCCGGAATTCACAAAATGGACTATGCTCCTTGTAGTATTTCTTTGTCTGGGCTATTCGCCATTTCAGAATTCAACTGCATGCGTAGCTGTGCGCTATTCGCGCAAGCTGCGATTGCCTGTCAGGTGTGCGTCGCCGCAGCAAGGCAGTCACTCTCGGCGGCGTCTATGGCCGCTGGTGATCTGCATCCACCTGCACCGCTGCTGCTGCTGGTGATGGTGCTCATCAAGGTGCCGTGGTGAAGATCACGGGTGCCCTGCACCGCTGCCGGTGATGTCCTACTCGGACCTGGACCGCGGATCGCTGCTGGTGGTATCCATGGCGATTGTCCTCGAATGATCGCGCGCCTAGACGGTGCTAATTTATAATCAAGGCTCATTGGTCTATGCACCATGTTTCAACCAACTGGCCAATGCGCCTAATCTAATAATTAAAAATTAAATCCACTTGAATCAAATGGTTCAATGTGGTTGCAATGCAAATGACAATTCTTTGGCTTCATGCCGGCCATTCCGAAGTTGATCTGTTGTTCTTTAATTTGCTTTCTCTTGTTTGATTTGGCTACCGGCGAGAATCCGCCCCATACCCTTAATTCGGGGTGGTGGCGGGATCCGGGCTCCAATGCGTGCCCGGGTGTGGGGTCGTGAACCCTGGTAGCCTAATCTCCTGCTTTTCCTTGTTTGTTGCCAATCAACTTCAACATGGCCAATGCGCCTTTCCAAATTCACTCCTTCTCTTTGTACAGTCGAGGGGGGTGTTTTTGGGGGCATGTACTTTTATCACAGCATGTTTGCTTATTGCCATGGCCAATGCGCCATTTGGCTCAAGTTTACTGTTCCGGCGACCGCTCCCGCCATAACGTCGGCTAGCTGTACACGGCGCCGCAGCGACCACGCGGAAAACGACCGCGTGTTCGCCAGCCGGCGGTGGCAGCGTTGCTGGTTGTGGGTCAGGAGTTAAGGGTTGGGACTTGCTTTGTTGCTGCTGCTCCGCTTTTGCTTGGTTAATTGCTTTGCTCGCTTGCTTGCTGCGCTCGCTTGGTTGGCTGCGCTGGTCCCCTTTCCTGTTTGGGTTTTGCGGTTAAACAGGATCCCCCGTTTGTTATCTGTGTGGTTCATTGCCAGCCGAGGGCACCACTTTGCCCTTGGGACTGGGGGGCTTAAACTGTCTCTTCTTGTTGGTGGGTTAGGGCCTGTTTATTCTCTCCCGAAATACTGTTTCAAACCCTTTCGCATTGTCCATTTGAGTCGTTGGGTCTCTTTTGTCACTTCCTGTGGCAGAGTCCCAAATGGACGCAGACTGAAGCCATGTCGGCGAGCTATGATCGGGTAAGCTTTGAATTAGGTAGCCAGCCTTCATCACCTTCGACGGATGCCCAAGCCTCGACATCCCCAGCCCTCTTTAATGGAATTGGGAACAGTGACCCCAGAAAAGCCATCCATAGTTCCCCCCTTGTGGCTAGAAAATGGAACTGCGATCCATCCCCCCCCCCCCCCCGGCCTCCGTCCCCCAGCAGGTCGACCCAGCAGCCCGGCAATCGAGAAGCCCAACTTCGCGGTGCCCAGAGGCGCGAAGTCAAGTGTGCAATGGGCGGACGCAAAAAGTGCTGGGGGGTCTCCTCCAACTTCCATTTGCTTAAGAATCCGGTTTATTTTCGCCCCTTGGTTTTGAAAGGAATCGATCACTGGCATTTTTTCCAGGGGGCTCAAGAAAATGGAAGCCAAGTTTCTTTTTTCCTACAGGCAGCAACATCTGAGCAGAAAAGTGATGGATGGTCCCCTGGCAGCAAGGCTGCAGGCACATGCAAATCTGAGCATAGTATGTTCGATGCAAAACGTAGAAGCTCTTCTCAACTCTTGTGGTATGGTTGCAAAAAGCTGACTGCTTTTTGCAGCCCAAGACTGCAAATGAACAGGACCAAACTAAAAGACAACAATCACTACAAAAGCCAGGGGTTCCAATCCCAAACCACCAACTAATGCTGACCCCGGACTAATAAACCCATTAATATGGGGGTGTCCGACTGGTTTTCGCAGGGATTCATCACTTTTGGAGGGGAACACCCCCATATTAACTCACTTCCTGAGTTGATGGACTTTAAACTTTTTGGAAAGGCCATATTTTAGTAAACAAACATTTCGGACTTTTTTTGGCCAGTCAACTTGGGAAGTGAGTTGATAGGGGTTCATGAATCTGGGGTCCACCTTCGTGAGCAGCTGCGTATCTCACCTACTGAGCTCTCCCGGTGGAGCTCAGGCGCAGAGCTCGGGGCTGAGACGCCGGATCGCGGCCTGGAATCGAAGGGGGAAGTGGAGAAGTGCGCCATGGAACCCGAGAGTTGTTTGACTTATGGGGGTGGGGTGTGGGGCATGGGGCAAACAAAAATGGGGAAAATGGAGCGTCCACAATACTTACCGCTTAAAAACACGAAACTTTTCTCAGCTTTCTGGGTAACATGGGCAAAATGTCTGTAAAAGATGAGAACTTCCCCAGGGCGCAGGGAGTTTTAAGGGGTAAGTTGAAGCTGGGCTCGAAGGCCGAACTGAAGTGGTCCAAAAGCAGAGTCATCAGAGGCCTTGAAGCAGAAGCTGCTTGGGAAGATTGGGCCGCACGCCCAACTTTTGCTTGCCCGATGTGTGTTTACTCAACATGAATGTGTGAAGGGGGGGGTAGGGGGGCTTAATATATAATGAAAGGGTCCCCTATGTTCCCTGAGTGGTCCCTCTCTCAAATTTATAGATTGGCCAAGAGAACAAGTGAGAAAGAATCAGTAGATTGGTTTTCTCTTCTTGCAGTATCCCTTGGAACATTGACCAGCACACATGTTGTGCCTAATCATTTTTGACCAGCCCACAACAAGAGTTGCTGTTGCCTTTGTCATGGTGACCCCTTAGGACAACCAAGTGATAAGCCAACCAAAACATTTTCCCTCCCGCCGCGCTTCGCCCGGCCTTATTGCAGGGGAAGGGGGCTGGATCTGTGTTCGGTTGTTTCTGGTGATTGGATGCATTGGCGGAGCATTGCGAGGGGGACTCGCCAGTGGCATCCAGTGGCAAACGCTGCTTCACCAACCAGCCCCGGCGTGCCTGTTGCAACTCAACATGAGCAAGCTGGCAAGCGTTTGAGTTTTCTCTGCCCTGCAGAGGGGCGTCATGGGACAACACTTCATTTGCCACAAACTCTGAAGTTCCCGAAAACCATTGCCCACTGAGGAGGGCCCAAGCAAGGACAAGACAAATGGAATTGGTGGCATTTTGAAGCTGCCCTTTCCCCCCCTCCCAGCCTCTTTGATCGCGCCTGTGTTGGTAACCCCCCCCTGGTCTGGGGCGGGGGTTTGGGCATAGTCTATGGATGGGCTGAAACCCTGCCTCCTCCGAGCAGTTGATTTCAAACGCGCTTTTTTTTTTCAGGACATGTGCACCACCTGTCGAGGTGCTGCTGTCTCATGCATATCTTGTTGGATTCGAGGAACCGAATCCTTGGAAGGACTTGTTTGCAACAGAGTCGAGCAGTCCATGGTTTGCCCGGAACCACCACCACACATCAGTGTCGGCCGCTTTTTGCTCTTTTGTCACTCCCTATGTGCAGGGCTCGCCGGCTGCGAAGTCCCGTTCGAACCTTGGTAGCCGGGGTAGCTTCCAGAACCGAGCGCTTGCCTAGGAAAAGAGGTCCAGAGATTACAGGAGGAGCCGGTGTGATGAAAGCAGATTCAGATGCTTCAAGCTGCAATGAGCTGGCTCATTTTGAGAGCTCTGCAACTTTCGGTGGAACTGTCGAACCACTGTATCTGTTGTTTCCCCCTGTTTCACCTCCCTGTTTCACCCAAGATGAACCCTCTGTCAGGACCCCCCCCCCCCACAAACAAAAACGGCGAATGCAGCTCAACCGTACCCTGGCCACCGTTTTTTTTTTTTTTGTGTTTTCCCATGTTCTCCGGCCAACACCCACGGGCCACGGGCGCCTGAAACGTCGATTCGAGGAGCTGAAGCTGCGGAGCGTAGAGCTGGACCAGTTCCGGCAGGCCTTCAGGCCGCTCAGCTCAGCACGCCCACGCCTTGACTGCTAGTGGGTAACAGATCTTTGGACTTGGACTTTTTGGGAAATCAATGAGTTTTCCTCTAAACCCCCATTATGTGTGTATATATATATATATATATTTGCAGGGGGGTCAACAGCAACCAAGACGTCTCCGGAATTTATTTTTTTCCGAGTCGGAACCTCGGTTTGATTGGGCCAGAACCGGTTTTTGAGTCGGAGCCGGTTTGTGGTGCTGTGCCCAGAAAAGCGCCCATTTGTTTTTTTAGCGCTGGCTTCAGGCTGGTTCCAATGTAGTACCAACTACTTGCCCAAAATTGGACGTCATTGGACGCCATTGGGTTTTTGGACTTGTATTTTTGGGGGAAATCCAACACTGCCAGCAATTTCTGCCGCTCTTTCCTGTTTTTTTTGGGGGGGGGACCCCCGTCAACTTCAAGGGTGCCATCCGCATGCCCTGATCCAGGGTGGTGGCTGTTTGTGGCTGTGAATGAGGCCAATGTCAGAGGTCACGTTGCATCGCTTCCTGCATGCTTTAGATGTTCAAAGTTGGGTTGCCAGGCGTGCATTGTGGCACTTTGCGTGGGGTGGGTATTCCAGTATTGCAGCATGGGGGGGGTGCCCTTTTGGATTGCGCTTACAGAAAAAGGGAAGCCACTGAAGAAACATCTATTCGTTGGGCCCTTGTTTGGGAAGCACCCAAATGGCATGGCCAGGCTCAGCTTACCTTTTAATGTTTTCGCCTTGGTGACTTTCCTTCATTCCGAATTTCTTCCCTCTCACCGACAGTCCCTCTAAGACGCTGGGCCAACAGCAACACGCTCAGGAAGAAGAGCGAGGAGTATGAGGGCTGCGTGGCAACTCGGGCCAACCGAGTGGGTTTGCCGGCGCCTTCCCCCCCCCTTTCAACATGTTTTCCTGGAAAATCATGGGGTTCTCTCCAGGGTTTTGGGTTCCCAGCGCAAGGTCTACCCTCTACCCATCTCTACCCGTTTTGTTTTGGTTGGCTTCCACCGGCCTTATGCTTGCTCACTCTTGATGGCAACAAGTGCGGAGGGCGCAACTTCATTGACTGCACCTTGGGAACGATGGGTGTTTGGGCTGCACCTTGTAGCGGTTCACTAGTTCACTCGGCAAGTATGATGGGTCAATGAAAGTGAGCGGACGGCTCTCACTGCAGCCGTGGGCTTCCAGGCTTCAAGGCTGGAGTTTCATTTGGCCTCATCCAAGCTAAAGCACCCCTACCTTGGGCCCCACTTCAGTTTTTGGACCCGTGTGGCCGACGAAAAAGCGTGCAGGTGTCTGGATCCTTTCCGCAGGAGAGCTCCATCGGCCCAGAACAAAATGGTACCAGCCCCGAAGCAGGCTCAAAATAAAGTAGGGGTGGGTCGGACCCTAAAATAAGTCATCTATTTTATTTTAGTCCACCCCCTTTTTTTTAATGCGAAATCATGTTGGCCTCTTGGAAAAACCCTTCAAAGTTGGACTGAACTCATTTCAAATTAACATGAGGTAATCTGTGACTTCCCCAGGAAGTGCCGTTTTTTCAAGTCCATTCAAGGCCTGGGAAATGTTGGACTGCGGCAGTTACATTTTGGACATGGCATTTTTGTGAAATCTAACTATATCCAATTTTAAGAAACACAAGACCAAATTCTAGTTCAAAGCCTTACGGAAACCATGACGTTTTCAAGGAAATATGGTGAGCCCAAAATAACCATCCGAGTTGAACCCCCCCCGACTTTATTTTGAAAAAAACGGATGCGCAAAATAAGCATGAGTTGGAGTCCCCTCGGCTTTATTTTCATAGGAAATAAAATAAGATACGTTTTGTCCAACTCGGACTGTTCAAACCAACCCCCAACATGAGGTCAAAATAAATCGTGAGTTTTCAATTTATTTGCTGTCAGTGTTGGACTATTTCATTTTATTTTCCAACAAGGTTGGACTGGACTGACCCTATTTTATCTGATAAAAATGGGGGGGGGGGGGTCCAACCCTGTTTGGAACCTCTAACGGGGATTGGTATCCGACGAAGTCCGCCGAGTTGATCTTCCGTCCGAAATGAAGATGTGTTTTATGTTCCCGTGTTGGTTGAAAAGCGGCTCGATTGCACTACTGGCCGAATGTTTATATATGTTTCTCCAGGGCGCTAAAAAGCTTAAATGGAAGTGATGGCAAGCTGAGCTCATCGTGATGAAGGCCATTTACTTGGGGAAGGTAGACTTTGCAGATCAAGTGACTGCCTCCATCCTGGAGAAGAGCCGCTTCTTTGCGCGGCTCAGGTATTGCTCAATGTCACTCAAGCAGAGCTCGGGGACTCGGTTGATCTCTTGCCGAGCCCAAAGGCGAATCTGACCTTTCGCTTTCCCGCTATCCATTGCCATGGTCTTAATGTAAGCCATCAGAGAGTTCACCTCGAGACACACCCAAGTTCGAATCAGCCCAAAGCCGACTGTGGGTTGGCCAGGTCTCCCTCTCTCTAAACCCCTCCCTCCCTTCTGGTTTCCTTCAAAGGCATGCGAGTGAAGGGGACTAAGGGAGTTGAAATTCGTTGGGCGGATTCAAAGGCTTGTGAGCCAGCCCCAACAGAATCAAATAACCTGCGCGTTGTTTGTTAGACGCATCCCCACTTGGATGGCAACCCTAAATAGAGGCGAATCTTCCCAGGCAATGCGTCCCCTTGCCAAAACCGAGAACGCGGTTTCGTGGACTTTCAATAACGGCGAAGCTAAGTAAGGCTTGTACATGTGCAAGTGCAGTTTTTTTTCACAAAGACTTGGGTGAAGTCATCTTCGCCAACTCAGCACGTTCTGAGGCTCCACTTGGCGCAAGAGCGGCTCCGCACGCAGTCCCCGACGCCTCCGCAGATCGCGCCCCGGCGCCTCCACGGCGTCGGGGCCTTCGCCAGCCCCCGGGAGCGAAGCGGCGCGGCGATCGGCGCGGGCGCGGGCGGCGGGGATTTGGGACCCGGGCGGCACCGCTGCCCTGAGTTTTCAAGAGGGCTTCGAAGCTCCACAAGCCAAGGGCAGTGGGAGCTCAGGAGTTAGGTGATGGCTGGATTTCGGAGGTTTGCTTGTTGGGAGTCCTCCCTGAAGAATGCGGGCGAGAATTTAGCTGGCTGCTGAACAGCCCATTTCACGGGAGTGCGATTTTTCTCAGTTGTCAGAATCATTGTGCAGCTGTGGGTATGTTGCCGTGATTGACGTGGCGTTCTCGCGCCCACGTCTTGTTGCTCTGGGTCAGAAGGCCATTTTAGAAGAGGTTTCTGCCCCGCAAGCTTAGCATCTAACCTAAAACGGCATCCAAAAGGGAGAGCCCTCCAACAAAAGTGTCCCATGTGTTTTTAGTGCGAAATCGATGTTGTGCATATTGGTGTGGCTCAAAATTAACCAGGAGGGGCAATCCGCAGGTTTTGGCCCATTCCACTTACCAACGGTGACCCATTTCGGAATTCCGGGTTTTTTTGAGCCACAGCCATAATCGGTGTGGGTCAAAAATGGGTACCCAGAACAGAATGCTGGTAGATGGAATGGACATTTCAACCTGCGGTTTTCTGGTGGTTTGACTTTGAGCCATACCCATATAATATAGCCGCGAAGCCAAGTTTCTTCAGCGCTAGGAGGTGGCAGAGGAGGTGGCCGCTTGGGCCGTGACCCTGATCTCCAACCGCGTGCTGACGCGGCCGCTGAAGGCAAACCGTTGTGGACATCAGGCCCTACATACTGTGGATGCACGAACTCCATTTCGCACCACCCAAGAATCCCTGGAACGATTATTCCCCTGTATCTGCAACAAACAACGGGTCCCCATGATTTCCAAGTGGTGCAGGAATTCGTCCATCCACAGTAGCCCATCCACCCCACCCCAAGACTTGGGGACCTGCGGGATAACACAAGAGAGAGAGAGAGAGAGACCCCAACCACAAGATGTGCATTTGGGTGTAAATACTTTTCACAGGTTGCCAGCTTCTGTGATAACGGCGCCCCACTTTAATGATAACATGGTCATGGGAATCAACCACATGTGGCATCTTGGGAAGCTTGTGTTTGTTTCACAGAAATGAGTCAACGAGGGTATGAAGTTTTCAGTTGCTCAGGGGCCTCTAAATCCCTCTTAGTTTGGCGGCGCAGGATCTCCGCAGAGGGTTCGCCAAGCTCAGACACAGCCACAGCGAGAGCGCCATGCATGATCTCGTCTCGCAACGCTTGCAAATGAGTCAAACGCTGCGCTTGCCACGAAATTCACAGACCCTTTTTATGAACATATTGCGCCTGCCACGCATCATATTATAGCGTCTATAGCATCGGCGCAAAACGTACTGCGCCCGCCACGAAAAACGCACGGCAGTCTCACAGAATGCTGCGCTGCCCATGGAATTCTGCGGTAACACGCGGATCCCCAAAATCAGCACGGCGCCACAGCGAGAGCGCAGTTTTGAAGAAAGGTCCGTTTCGTGCGAAGCTCTCGCCCTAAAGACAACTTTTTGCGACAACTGCCATGGTGTTAGAGCTCCGATTTTCCCCGCGTCGTAGCCTGACCCGACAAGAAGATATCACCACGTGGCGGCCCTTGCCATCAAAAAACACTGCTTAAGAAAAAGCGTTTGGCACGAGGCTCCTCAAACAACACACACCCGCGTCGCAGCGGCTTCATCAAAAGTTCATGGCGCGAACCTCCCAACTATCAACTGTGGCCCTGCCAGCAAAAAAAACAAATGTGAGCGCGGCACCACAGCGAGACGCACGTGCCAGCGCGAACCTCCATTTCGTGCGAGACTGTCGCACCGAAAACAACTTGTTACGCACAGGGCCAACAATTTGAACGCGAACCTCGATCTAAACCGGCCTTAACTCTTACCGTAAGAACCCCATAGTGCAAACACTATTTGGGGAACAAGCCCCCGAATTATAGACTTCTAACAGCACAGTCATGCTGGGGATTGCCCCCGCCAAGACCCCAAACATGCCAAATCCAACATCGCTCAAACAGAGCAAAACAACTAAAGTCATGCCGCCAAGACAGCCCTGATAGCGCTGCCCCCACCCCTCGGGAGACCTAGACAAAACGCGTTTTAGGCGTCCGAAGGCCCAACACACTGGACAATTACAGGGTTTTGGGCTCCCGCCAAATTTTGCCCAACCAATGACCTCCACGAAAGCCTTCGGCTTTAGAAGAGTATTCCCAAGGAACAGCAAGTTGCGGATTGACATCTACACGCTCGACTGGCGTCGGCGGATTTGTTCGTCCTCCTTTTTCTGGTTGGCTTGTTGTAAGCACGCTCCTTGGCAAAGCCAGGACCAGAGGTGCCCTTGCCTTCCCATAAGCCACTGGGTGGGATGAACCCTGATGCATGCGGCCATTGTACAGAGACAAAATGGATACGCAAATAGGTCCTGGATAGAAACATCCTTTCCCAGTGCAACGGATCAACTCGGAGCAGATGGCCAGCATTGACTTGTGGAACGGGGCAAGGTTCTATAATAAGGTCAGTCCAGCATCACGGCGTTTGACGTATTGGCAGAGTTGCTTTCCTTCAGGTTGATGACTTGCAGGGAGCACGGCAAAGCCGACATGGCAACTCGGATGGAGTCCCTTCTTGGAACTGCACGGTTTTGGGATTCAGTTTGGGCAAAGTTTCAAGAGACTGGGCGCATCGTTTCTCTGCTGAGGTAGCGAAGGCACGAAGTCTGACCAGCGCACCACGCAGTATCAACAGTCCACAAATCCGGTCCTCCAACCTCCGGTGCAACCACAGAGGCCCCCTCAGCCGCTACAAACACACCGCCCGGCAAGTCAGTTCCAGTCTGGGGGGGAAACACAGCATGCACAGCCGCAAGAGCGGGCAGTTGCGCATGCATTTACTCAAGAGCAGCAGCAGCTAGCTCATCAACAGGATGAAGCACAGCAGCTGGAAAGGCAACTAGCTCAGCTCCAACTGCAGTATGAACAGCTGCAGGCGCAGCAAGCGCAGCTTCAGTCACGGAATGCGCAGCTGCATCAACTTCAACAGCATTCACCGATGCAGCCGCAACAACTACAAGTACTGCAGCAACAGCAACCACCCCACCAACCACCACAAGATGCACATCCGCTGCAGGAGCAGCCACCACCGCAAATTCAGCTCCAGCAACCGCTGCCTGCACAGCAGCAGCATCCGCAGGAGACGCATCTGCAGGAGCAACTGCCGCATGCACAATTGCAGCCGCAGCATGCGCTGCTGCAACCGCAGCATGCACAGACGCAGCCGCAGCATGCACAGATGCAACCGCAGCATCCACCCCCAGAGCATGTGCAACATGTCCAGCTGCAGCCACAGCATGCGCAGATGCAGCCGCAGCATGCGCAGCTGCAACCGCAGCATGCACAGATGCAGCAGCAGCATTCGCCGATGCAGCCGCAACAACTACAAGTACTGCAGCAACAGCCACCACCCCACCAACCACCACAAGATGCACATCCGCTGCAGGAGCAGCCACCACCGCAAATTCAGCTCCAGCAACCGCTGCCTGCACAGCAGCAGCATCCGCAGGAGACGCATTTGCAGGAGCAACTGCCGCATGCACAATTGCAGCCGCAGCATGCGCTGCTGCAACCGCAGCATGCACAGACGCAGCCGCAGCATGCACAGATGCAACCGCAGCATCCACCCCCAGAGCATGTGCAACATGTCCAGCTGCAGCCACAGCATGTGCAGATGCAGCCGCAGCATGCGCAGCTGCAACCGCAGCATGCACAGATGCAGCAGCAGCATGCACAGATGCAGCTGCAGCGTGCACAGATGCAGCTGCAGAATCCAACCCTGGAGCATGTGCAACATGTCCAGTTGCAGCCGCAGCATTTGCAGATGCAGCCGCAGCATGCGCAGCTGCAACCGCAGGAGCTTCAACAACTGTCACCACAGCTGCAAACACTGCAGCAACAGCCACCACCCCACCAACCACTTCAGCAAGATGCACATCCTTGGCAGGAGCAGCCACCAGCGCATGTGCTGCTGCAGCCGCAGCCAGCACAACTGCAGCTGCAGCATGCAGCACCAGAGCCACAGCTGCAAGCACCACGACCACAACTCCAGCCGGCAGTGCAGCAGTCGCTGCAAGTTCAGTCGCTGCCTCAGGTTTGCATCTCTCAATTTCAGGAATCCTCTAGGCGTTTCCTCACTCAAGCCGTTGTCAAGCCCTGGAGGCTAGGCGCTAGGCAGTCGGGCGATTCTCCTCTTCGGTTTCAACAAAGACCAGGGATGGGAACCTCCAAGCCACCAGCCGAATCAAGTTGGGTTGCTGCAGCTGATGTGATGGTGCTCCCTTTTGCTGGCACTCGCGTTGAGGCGGCAAGCGGCAGTTTCACTAGGTGCCTTGGATGCGTTGCTTATGGCCGGGCGCTGTGGCGTGTGGAGGGCGATTTCTAGCAAGCCAATATTTATATTTATCATCTCCTGGAGTTCGTGGGGTGACCAATAACTACACACCAACGTACCACAAGAAAATTGAACAAATTGCTTACCAAAGTACCAGGAGGGGTCACCACGAATGTAGCCAGCTGCTGAGAACTGCCACATGCTTGATGCCCCCCAACCGAGCCTTTTTCAACAGCCTCGCTGGCCAATTCTGCCAGAGGAATGCACCAGGATTGCGTTGACTCCTCGTATCAGCCATTCGAAATCTGCCTGGCTGACCATTCCAAGTGGCAGGGTTCGAGTGCTGCTCACTGAATGTTTTCAGTGGCCTCCACAGCGGTCACGACAGGTTCCCAGGGTGCAGATCGCGCGCACGCTGCTTTTCTGCAGACAGAGTCGCAGCTTTCATTGCGCAGAACTCTTGCAGAGCCACCTTGTTGCAGGCTCGATGTTTTGTCGCTTGGTTGTTCATTAGACCTGAGCACCAGCAGAATTGCTGGGCTGCTTAAGCTTGATCCCAATGATGTCCCTTGCAGTGGTGCTCCGGTACAGTTACGCATGGCCAGTGGGCAATTCTAAGAGCAAGTAGCCAGAAATCTGCTTGACCTCGGCTCTTAGCCAGTCGCTTCTTGGTTGCCCAAGCGAGCTGGCTAACAGGAGAGTTTGGACAACTACTTTCCTGTTGGGGACTCCCTCTCCACTTCACAACATTTGGGACAAGAGGTAAACACATTTCGCTCCACCTTAATTATTTTGCCGGCCTTCGGAGGTTTTCGCGGAGCAGGCAGCCCTATGGATGGATAAAAATCCTGCACCAACTAGTGGCATGTGATGCAAGATGTTGTCCACCGGGAATTGCTTCGGGCGAGTGGCCTTGCTCCCAAGCTTGGACCATGGCGCGTGGACCCCGGATGTTCAAATTAAGTCTTCACATTTGTGTCCCTCTTTTGCGTGAAAGCCATGGTAATTGATTGCTTCCCCTGTTGAAAAAAAACAACGATTCGTCCTCACCGCTAGTGGGAACTCGGCACGACCTGGCTTGCACTGTTGCTTTGGGGATCGCTCCATTCTGAAGAACCCGCCTAAACCATGATGTTTTCCTTGCTTGCTGCCTGCAGGATTAAGAGCGTCCATGTGCATGTTCATGTCCGTATTGACAGTTTTGAGTTTTGATTTGGCAGTGTCCTACAGGGTCAACTCATGTCCGCAGCTTTAAGGGTCTCAGGAAGGTCAGTGCAACAATGTCCCGGGACTTTTTTCTGACCAGTCCAAAGTGAGCAGATGTTTTCTGGCCTTTTGACTGTTTCCATGAGGCCCCCTTCCAACCGAAAGGGTACCCTCAAATGACACCCGCAGTTAGTCTAGGGGTTGAGACCTCAATTCCATTCGTTCCAGGAATCGGTAACCCCCGTGTTTTCTCCCAGGAGCATGCTCACTTTGGGCAAACCTTTTGCTCTTTGGTTTCGCTGATTATTCCCAGTTCTCTAGTTGCCAACAAGTGATCGCCATTTACTTCTAGGTCCTTTTGGCAAGTCTACGCAACCCAATCTCAACCCCCATAGTTCTGCAGTACTGGGACCTTTAGGGGGGCACTTTCCCACGGCTCTCTTTTGCAGCTGAGAGCGGGCCCCCCAATTCACTCGGACTTCTGGGGCGCCTTGCCCTCCCCTTGCAGCGCCTCAACCGCACGATCCGAAGCGCCTAAGGCAGATGTTCCACGGGGCCAAGACGGCCCAGATCTCTTCGGCGGTCCGGGCACCTTCGGCGTGGCTCGGAAACGATACAAAGATGGGGGAAGGACCTTGGGCCATGGGTGTGTCTTGCCTTGGGCCTCCGCCAATGGACCCAAAACAGCGGGTGCTTAAAAAAAAGAACACACCCAGAAGGGTGTCAGAAACTCATCACCCTCAAGCCCCCGAGTTTTCGGACTTACTTTGGAAGGACCCCTTTGGGCAAACAAACACAAATGGATTTGTGTTGGGCTATAAAATCAGCTCGGGAAGCGAGCGAGTGCTGAGCTTTAAAGCGTTAAAAGAAGGCTCTCCGTGGAAAAATTGTCCCAAAGGAAACCAGCAGGCGATGGCTCATTTAAGGTTTTTTTTTGTCAGTCCTCCTGTTGTGCACTGCGCCGCAGTGAGAGCACTTGGGGGCAGACTTTGGTGAAATGGGCCAGGCATGGGCCCATGGCAGTTTAATGTTGACCCCGTATTAGTCTGTAACCCCCCCCCCCTTGAAGGTTGGAAGGTTTTGGGGGGGGCAAGATTTTGGAAGGTTTTTTGCCTTGACCCCCTAAATAATCTGCAATTGAGTTTCCATTTGATTTAGTATTGCTGGGGCTTCCTTTTGAGATCTGGAATTGAGTTTCCATTTGAATTAGTATTGCTGGGGCTTCCTTTTGAGATCTGGAATTGAGTTTCCATTTGATTTAGTATTGCTGGGGCTTCCTTTTGAGATCTGGAATTGAGTTTCCATTTGATGTACTATTGCTGGAGCTTCCTTTTGAGATCTGGAATTGAGTTTCCCTTTGAATTAGTATTGCTGGAGCTTCCTTTTGAGATCTGGAATTGAGTTTCCATTTGATTTAGTGTTGCTGGAGCTTCTTTTTGAGATCTGGAATTGAGTTTCCCTTTGATTTGGTATTGCTGGAGCTTCCTTTTGAGATCTGGAATTGAGTTTCCATTTGATTTAGTATTGCTGGATCTTTTTTTTGAGATCTGGAATTGAGTTTCCCTTTGATTTGGTATTGCTGGAGCTTCCTTTTGAGATCTGGAATTGAATTTCCATTTGATTTAGTATTGCTGGAGCTTCCTTTGGGGGGTGGGGCCGATGGACCGCACTACTTACGGGGAGGATTATTAATTGGGGGTGTTAAGGGCCAATGTGGGGTGCTCTTTGAAACCTTCTAAACTTGATTTGTTTAGTAAAGAATTTAATAAGATATCGACCATCTCAGAACACTTTTTGTTTTGTGGTTTGGGCAGGCCCAAAAGTATCCACCAAGCTTCAAGATGAGAGTAGGTGGAGATGAGAGCCCTAAGCAAGGCAGCAGCATGAAGAGAAAGGTACCAGAAGAAAGCATGAGCCCATTTGAGACAAAGCACCTTTTCAGCACACCATTCAGAGAAAGCATGGCAAGCAGCATGAGTCGATTCAACATCAGCAGCACCAAAAAACAGTTTACATTGTAATGAGCTCAAGAAGCAGTGGAGAAAATGAGATAGCAGCAGCCATCTGGGGGAGGGACCGGTCTAATTGGGGGGGTTGTTTTGCATCATTTTTTATTTGGGGGGCATTTTCTGAGATATGAATTGTTTAGTATTGGGGGGGTCCACCCGGACCGGACTAATAGGGGGGGGGGATTACTAATACACTGTCAACATTACCAGGAAAGGTTCTTCATATCCCGTCGGCGAACAAGTTCCTGCTGAGCCGGTTGGGACCAATGGGCCCGTTGTCCTTTGATTTGCTGAGGCCCGAATCTCCCAGTTCAGGAGTGGTTTTCAAACCGAAGATGAGTTTCCAAACCCCAGGAATGCCTTTGCTTCCCCTGAAAACCTGGTCCAAAGACCGTTGACCATGTTGAAGCATGTTGACACCAATCAATGACATCCCTTAGCTCTTAGCGCGGGTACGGGAATGACCAGGCCGTTGTGATGCGGCGGGGGCTGAGGCGAACGCATCAGATGCGAACACCGTCGAGCCCCTTGGCTTAACTTTGAAGCCCCTATCCCGTCAGAAGCATGAGTAGACTTAGCTTCCCCTTGCAAATTGTTGTATTTTTGTTAATCCAGCTGTACGGTTTTCGGCAGTGTAACTGGCTAAGCACCCACCAAGATTTCCTGTTGCTGGTTTCTTAGTGATTGTTGTTCCTTCATGTTCCCACGCATGATGCGTGCTTTCCAAGGGGTGGCGTCCAGTTTGTCGGCGCTCCAACGTGGGCTTTTTAGATGGAAATCAAAGGGATGCCCGGGGTCAACATCTACCCCCCGCAAGCTAAAGGGTAGGGGGATTACCCCGGTCAAGATTATGTGTGTTATCCTTCTCAGGCCGCCAGACGTCAGTCCCCGCCGTTACGCCCCCGGCTCAGGCGAGACGATCCTGATGTTCTGCTACGGTACTTGCAAGAGCAGGATGAGGACTGTCTCTGGATAAAAATATGGCTTCGCTTTCCTCGGGATTCCTGATTTCCGGCATGAGAACGAATCAACTCAAGCTGTGGAGCACTTGGTTTTAGGATTCTGTGATGCCAAGGGGTCCCCGCAAATCAATCAGAATTCCGGAATTCCATTGGCAGCGCAGAATTCCGGCCATTCCTTGAATGGCACCTTGAGCCTTCCGTAGCTAGTTGGAGAACGTCACTGGATGCAAGTCGTAAAAAAATACAGCAGCAAGGATTATCTATATACCAGTACGTCGTATCCTATCCCAGTCAATGCTATTATATTCCGGTAAAAATCGATTCTGTTCTGTCCTGATCGATTTCATTCTATCAATGTAGCTATTTGTCTATCTATGTATTTGTCTTTCGATCTGCGGGCCCATCGAGCTATCCATATTTCGCATTATTTGTGCAGAAGACGCTCCATCAATTAGTCTATGTATCTAAATCGACTTATCTAGCCATCCATCTATCAATCTATCCATCTAATCTAGCTGTCTATCTATCCATATCTATTCAATCTATTTATTTGTTTGGCGGTCTGTCTATTTACATATATATATACATATTGACATATATATATATATATATTGACCATATATATATATATAGAGGTACACTACGGATTGCTTGGGGGGGGAGTTCCATATGTGAATAAAACAATAAATAAGAAGCCAAACAATACATCCAACTACAAGTATTATATACACAACTGCATAGTTACGTTTTTGTTACACTAGAAAACTTACTAGATAGAACTAGGTCCTTATGAAATTCTGATTGAAGTCTATTCACATGATAAAGATAGAACCGTTTCAATATCTAATGTCAAAAAAAGAAACTTTTATTTTGAGATGAAAACCAATTTAGATTCCATTTAAACTAGAAATCCTACTGGGCGGATGTGCTTGTTGAATTTTACCTCATTTCTATTAGAACATTGGACAAAAACACATGAGAGACCCCCTTTAGAATCTAAATGAAATAACAATGCCAATCAAACACCTTCTTTTAAGCAAAGCTAGACGCTCCTCTAGAAGTATTTCCTTATTCAGTTCCATTTAATATTTGATCAACAACAAACAAACAGGGAAAACTTGTCTAAGTCGAATGTCAAATAAGTTGGACTTTTAGCTACTAATATTCATTGAAAAGGAAACCTATTTAGACTATCTTTAAGCTAGAAATCCAAAAGGATGATTTCCTTATGAATTCAAAAGAAGAATCTAAGTCGAAATAACCAGTCCAATTGAAAAGGCGATCCTATTTGAGTTACCTTCCCAAGATTCACAGGTATTTGCGGTGTGTTCTGCCCTTTTTTGGCTTTGGGGAAAGCAGCAAAAAAGGAGCTCATTTCCAAAGACAATCTGGAAGCTTCAGGCTCCAAACCTTTTCCAGGGAATCTTGAATCGGCCCCCAAACCGTTTGAACCCTTGAAACCTCTCTCAGGGAGAAACAAAAAACAAAAGGGCCAGGGAGCCAAACCATTTGAACCGTTCAATCCGTTTAAACACTTTTCTTAGAGGAAAGACACCCCCCCCCCCCCCCCCGCCCTCCCTTGGCCCATGACCGTTTGAACCCTTTCTCAGAGGAAAGTCATGGAAAGTCCCCCCGCCGCCACCCAAGGGTCAGGGCCCACAAGCCGTTTGAACCGTTTAAGCTCTTTCTCGCAGGGCCCCCCCCAGCCCCCAGGGTTCTACCTGACAGAGGGTTCAAACGGTTCAAAGGGTTCAAAAGGTTTAAATGGTTTTGGAGCTAGAGAGTCAGATGTAGTGGGCAGAACAAAAGAACACAAACAGAAAAAAGGCGCCGCCATTTGGGGAGTGAGGGCATCTATATACACATATGTACACTTTGTTGTTCCGTAACGCACAGGTTGTCCAGCCCAAGTCCTGTTGCGCAGGACTTGGACGAGGAGGCGCGGCGCGTGGCCAACAAGGTGGCGCCGGTGCCTCCGTCCAGATCCCCGCCGCCTGACACGGGCGGCACCCCCACGCCGCAGGTGGAGGAACGAGCGAGTGTCGGAGGGTTCTCTATGAGAAGGAAACTTGTCTTCTAGGAACCCCCTAGGTTCCATGTTAATTGGTGGGAGGGTACATTGAACTTCCATTTGCTGAATGTTGTTTTACTTCCCCGTTTGCTTTTTGGAGGGAATCGATTTCACGACTGAAACATGTTGTGTTCCAGGGGACTTGAGCAAACGGATATGTTTCGTGGGTTTACTATTACAGGGAACCAAAAGAAAAACACCCATTGGTTCGATTGCAATAGTTACTTAGGAACCCTTTTGGTTCTCTATCACGTGTTGCTTTGCAGGTGTTGTATGTGTGTGTGTGTGTGTTGCGAGGCATGACTTGCAAGCACATTCGAGCAAAAATAGGCTTGAGTGGGCAGTTCTTTGGGATTATGGTTTTGGAGAGACACAGCTAGGTTGTGCATAAGCTCCTAGTCACCTTTTGCAAGGACCCATGTGAAGAGTCGCATGCTCTAAATTCCATTGCTGCTGCGGCGGACCACGTTGCAGGAGCAGGAGCCAGACAGTCAGTGGGCAAACTGCAGCATCATCCGGGAGGTGGATGTGTGCTGCACAGCGACGCAAACTTCGCCCACGACGCTCGGCTTGTAAACAACCCCAAAGCGTGGCAGTGCCGCAAAGTGGGAGGACCAGGCTTGAGCAATATGGGCGAAACTGAGCATACCCGACTTTCTTACAAGAAAAAGCGGGCAAACTTGCTTCCATCACTGTTTGATCTATATATATATATTGTTTGTTGACTTTGTTTCAGCTTGTGCTCTTGATCTTGGTATACGAGCGTGATCAGGGTGCCTATCAAATCGGGGGAGGCCAAGGAGAACCTCGTAAGTCGGGTTCAGGCACCCCTTCGCCATAATTGAAAATTAGCCTGACGAAGCCACCGTAGGCCCAGTCAATTAACAGTACCCTTTGATTCCCTTCTTGTTGGGTGGGTTAAACCCCAGACCGGCTGCTTGCACATTCACCCAACGTGGAAATCATGAGAATTACGCTGGGGCTAGTTACCTTACATAGAATCAACCTACCTACCCTCTCATCCACTAACATGGAAGGCCCTGCTGCGAGGAAAGCACGTCTTCCAGGGACCGCAAAACGTTGGATTTCATGTTTGGAAATGGTTGAAACATCCAATCCCCCTTTCCTCCAAGAATTCTACAAATGTGCGCAGAGCCTTTCGTTGGGTATGTGGCTGCGTGTCTTTTCTTAGGGACCCCTCAAAGTTGATGTTTTCCTATTGGTTTCCGGTTTTGAGACACCCAAAATGGGGTCCCCCCAAAAAAACACACACACACACACACCAATTTGTCTCCTGGTTGCACTGGTTTTCACCAGGCCGGGCTCGGAGCGGCGTGACCCAGCACCTCGGCATCGTTGCATCCGCTTCCGGCGTCGTTTTGTATTCGGGTGAAGTGCCCAGCCCGTTTTGGTTTACTAGGTTGCCCAGTAGTGCCCTGTGTCCCTTTTTTTGAGGCAGGGTTCCCCTACTATAATCGACTACAGAAAAAAGGGGGCCCTTATTCTAACCTCTCTTTTGGTTTAATGCTGACCCAGGATTGATAAACCCGTGCCGTTAGTATATAGGGGGTTCCCTCCAAAAGTAATGGATCCCCACTAAAAGGCGACACCCCGCTATTAATCAACCAGGGGTTTATTGATTCGGGGTTAACAATAGAAAGGGAACTTGTTTCATTGCCAGACTTATCTTGCCTTATCGTTTCAATCTTTTCGTTTTGTTTTTTTTGGTTTTCCAACATTTTGTCAAGCTTTTTGCAAGGGCCGAAGTCTGGTCAAGGCCTAAACTACCCCCACAAAGGGAAGACTATGGACGAATCCCGGACGTGCATGTGGGTTACGTGGCTTTCCTGCGTTGCTTGCCCTAAAGGATTTGTGCCAACCAACTCACCTGGTGGCGTGGATCGCCTGTTTCGTGTATGTTCCACATAGGCGTGAGGCTCATGGATCGGCATGGGTTTTAACGTTCGGCCTGCCCGGGCGCGTTTGGATTGTTTACCGGCCATGCGGGGGTGCCGGATTTGGCCTTCCAAGTCGCCAGGTTTCCATGCCAGTCTCAGCCCCCTTTGTCTTTGGCCCAGGCGTCTGGGAAGGCACTGGTCACTGCACAAGAGGAAGTGCGAGCTATGAAGACGATAGAGCCTTGGATCTAAAATCGAGCAACGCAGATGAGGGTCCACATCAAGTAAGGGGGCCTTTTTTTTGCAATGTGGTGGGTAAGGGTGTGAGGGAAGGGTAAGTCATGTATCTGAGGGGCCCTCATGATTTCCAGTAAAGAGCGAGCCAATGATTTCTGGTAAAGAGTGAAAATGACTATCCCTTGTTTTGTCATCTCTCCCGCAAAGGAGGTCACAGGATGGATCTTGCCTCTGATTCTTTTCTGGACCTCATTCCTGCGAACCCAACAGCCAGGGTCCATTTCAAGGGGACTCCTCCAATGCGTTGTGGGGTGAGAAAAGTAGGCTTACCCGGTGTAGCAATGCGGTCATTTCACAAGAGTCACCACTCTTGGCCCTCCAATTTTCGCTGGCTAGGAAGGCAGCATGAAAGCTTCGGATTCCCAGTTCGGCTTCCATGTCGCCCAAGCGTTGACCAGCTGAGCATGTGTGTTAAGACAGGGGAAGCTCAACGGGTGGTTTCCCTTTGGAATTGCTCTGAAACAGCCCTAATCCTGGACTGCTATTGGGTTGGATCTTTGGACTTTAACTTCTTGGGGAAATCATGGGGGTTTCCACCAAACCCCCAACAGTTAAGCTTCTTACAGGGGGGTCAACAGCAACAAAGAATCAGAAAACCATCGACTGTGGCGCTCGCTCCGAGCTGGGTGAGTTATCCTGGTGCCAGGTGGCCAACTCCAAAAAGGAGATTCTCTACTATAACCAGGCGCGGTTGGCCATCACCCCGGAAGACCTATTTGGGGTGTTCTTCGCCCTTTGGAGACTAACGCTTCCGAACATATTTGTTTAAAGCCATACTGGTCAATTCTTCTTGGGCAGAATTGGTTTTAGTGGTGCCCTGGCCCTGGCAGCGATTCAGTGAGAACTGCCAAACCTGGAGCCTTTCCCGGTCTGTCGATCCGGGCAAGTGATGCAGGCTGGCAATCCACTGGGTACCGAACTCAAGCGAGGTGGAACGTTTTGGGTCAGGAAAAGTCAGGAACCAATTCGAAGCCCAGGTAAGACAGTGCCGCATTTTGATCGCAGCAGGTGCTTCGGGAAAAAAATGCCGAGCACGAGCAAGAGCTCAAGGACGCCGGGTGCTCTTCTGGCGGATATTGTATTATATTATCTCATTTCCACAGCGTTTTTTGTTGCTCCATTTCTAGTCAGCCCCAAAATTGGTTTTCCGCTTTTTGGTCCATTTGTAGTCACGCCCCAAAATGGCAAACCTTTGATTTTCAAATCCTTGGAGATCCTTTGAGCAACTGAGATCCCCGGGTCCCTTGGAATTGGGAGAGGGGGTGACCAATGGAGATCTCGATGTCTGGTTCCATGTCCCGTTGATGGCGACTAAAGACAGGGGACTTGGGGACCCAGCCTCCTCCCCGTTAAGGTAGGGATCAACTCGCCTCGATTGCTTGTGCCATGGACTGACTTCGCCATCAAAGTTACCCGGAGGGAAAAACCATCCCGAACTTGGGCAAGATCTGGAGAGCAACACTTGGGCCCCTTCCGATAGCAATGGGACTGATCTTGGACGAAAGTCAGACCCACTTGATATCATCCCCATTGGGGTTGATAACTTAGTAACTTGGGGAAGCCTTTTTTTTCAGCTTGTTATTTAGCTCTGCATATGGGTCCCACAAACTCTGCGGCTGGCCCCTTGCAGCCTCAGTTTGAAGTTTGAAGTCTGCGGAAAGAGGATCTCGTTCAGGATATGCAGGAGACCATGGACACCGAGCGGCGCAGAAGTGCGGAGGACCTACACGTCTTTTGAGAGCCGAGGATTTGTTCGCTGCATTTTGCGAGGCCACGCACAGCGCATGATTAAAGCCAGGGGCTCAGACTTGGGACACATGAACAGAAACACCTTTGAATCAAGGTTTGGGCTGGCTCAGGGCAATCTAGAGAGTCTCCTTTGCCTACCAGTGCCTTGCCTTCAGCATGAAGCGTGGCAGACCTACCATCTAACCTATCTAATTACCATTACCTTTTTTGCCGCCCGCATGGGACGGTTCCCCCCCAAAGAATTTCCTTTCCTGGGCGTTCGGCAAGTCTCGGTGGTGATAGTCTCTGATGTATTGGCGTAAGTGAGCCGATTAAACGGACACCGTCGTGCGTTCATGTACACGTGTGGTACTGGTTGTTGGCATTGGTGTCAAGCGTCGTTGCAACCATTTGAGCCGGCTTGAATTCAGTGAGCACCTTCAAACGCGCAGCCATTTGCGGCTTTCCACGAGGGGCACGTGCAGGTGTGCATTCGTGCGTTGGCTTGCTAGAAGGTGTGTGATGGCATCGAGTTGAAACGATTGCTCCCATTAGCTTTCATCAGGTCCAGCGGAAGCTTCAGCCTTCAGAGGAATGGCTAGCGGCCACATGGGGCAGAGTGTTCAGAAATGAAGTGCTCAGCAAGCATGGCCGAAACCGACATACAATTGTAAGTCACAGCGGGTGTTGATCTAATCATAGTTACTCGCAACTTGCTAATTTTTGAGCACCCTGCCCCTAGTAGATACATCGCAAGAAAAACCGCCACCGTGCGCTCACTGCAGTGAGCAGCGGAGTTCTTGAAGTTTCTTCTGCGCAGGCAGTGTGCGCTTTGTGTCTCGGTTTGTCGCTAGGACATGAGGCTTTGGAAGCTGCATGTCAAGAAGGACCGGACCTGCAGGGCTTCTGCGCAAATGATTTTTGTTTGACCGGCTTCCTGCGCCAAAGAGGGTCAGCCACCACAAAAAGCTCGGCTCTCTTTTTCGATTCATCCGGGTTGCTGGTTGGGGTCGGATGTTCTAAGCAGCACTAAGTCAAAAGGCCAAAGTCGTTGGGCTATCGCCGTTGGGAGCGTCGTTGGGAGATGCTCGGCAACCATTTGACGCATGGAAACGCGGGATGGATCAACTTCCGGTTGAATTCATAGGGGCTATCTTCCTCCATCTTTTGGGCTAAGAGGCAATCCGTGATCCTGTGGCCTTGGGCGGCTTCCTCTGCAAAGTCTGGATGTCAGAAACCTAGGTAGAGAGTCGAGTAGCGTCTTTTCCATTTGCCCCAATGCTGTGGGCAAACAAAAAAAACAGCACGCGATCAGGGCATTTTTAAATAAGGGGGTCGCCTGACAACTGCGGTAAACAAACTTGAGCTACAATTACCCCCAAGGGAAAGGTGACTTAAGACGCGCACCCCTCTTTTCCTCGCAAATCATTGTTGGTTCCCTTCTTGTGCTCAGCAGGGAATGACCTTCAGGGTGTTGGGAATGAGCCTAGGGATTCCCTGAAAGGAAACCAAATCTCCGTTCCCACTCCCTGCCAATCGAAGCAGCAAGCTCATCTTTTCCCCGAAAGTTCTGCAGGAGCTGATGCAAGATCCCATCATGGCAGTGGCGCTGCACATGTGGGAGCGGGAGGTGACAGCCCTCCGAACTTCACAGGCGTGCGGAGTCTTGCGGAGTCTTGCGGACGGTCCATCTAACTTCCCCCGGTTTTTTTTTCCCCCAGCACGGGGGGAAAAAACAGGGCCAATCTTGACTTTGCTTTTGGTTGAAAGGGAAAGTCAGGCAAAGGCCTGCTTTTTCAGGCTGGAAGATCAAGGACTATGGCTTAAACATCATTTAATTTGGCAATAGCTGAGTCTCTTGAGTGATGTTAATTGGACCCTGGGAAACCCGGAAGGAATGTGGCTTTGCGATCACTACAATACAATTCCTTGGTATCCAAGCTGGCTCTGGCAAGTAGGGAACCTTCATGTTCACATGTGAGGTGCGAACACCTTGTGCGCAGCTGGGTGTGACTGTGGGCCTTTCTGAAATCGATCGCTTTTCTCACAGGAAACTTGATTCGGGCGGGGCCGACTTGGCCCATGCGACTGAGTGGCGCCTGCGACCTAAGACGGATTTCGCCAAGCCCGGAGAAGGCCAATGGGAACGGCTTCCCTCGAGTCATGTCTTAGAGCTTGAGGCTACAGCATCCTGCAGCTCACCCTGTTGCCACTTGCGTCCTGACGCTCCTCGAAAAGGGGCCTTCTGTTCCATGCTCGGCTTAGCAAGGATCAAACTTCTCCAGTTTGCCCTGAAATCACAGATCTTCTGGGAGCGTAGGCTCATACCCAGCTATTCCGCCGCAGTGACCTAAACGCGCACCGATCAGCTCCCTTAGGTGCCTGTTTCCAAGGCACCTGCCACGCCGTTCAGGCGTTTTCGCAATGGAAGCGGAAGGCCAGCCAGCTGATGAAAGCCCGGGGCATGCAAGGCGCGGACTCGGAACTTGCCGCGGATATGATCGATTTGAGGATTTGTTGATGCAAAGTCTGGACGGGAACATGTGCGGAGCTGCACACAAAGACAATCATAGATATATATATGTATATGTATATACGTTCTATATTATATATATATAACTTCCTCGCAGCTGCAGGGTAACATGGAACATCATAGAATCAAGTGCTCATGTCCAGTACTTCGACCGACCGAGGGGTGTTATGGCGTAAGTCTAGCCCTCACCTCAGGGAATCCTGCACTGGCACAAGTATATAAAATGGCGCAACTTTCAGGCCAGGACTGGGGAGTACAAAGGCATTGTGGCTGGGAGCTGCTGGTATAAGTGGAATCTGCCTTGAGGCCTCCGGGGGTTCTCATTTTTCTCATGGTGAGAAACGGTGCTTTAGTAAACGCATAGGTCCACCCTGAGGAAGGTCCAGTCTATCCGCATCTCTTATGCAGCGGGCTCCAGCATCGGCTTTGTCTAAACAGTACCGTACATCGAGGAGCATTTTTTCCGATCAACATTCGGCTCAGATGTGGCACCGAGAACAAAATCGCAAACAGCCACAGAGAGAGAGAGAGAGAGGGAGAGTGAGCCACAAAGAACATGCTTCTAGAACCCCTCTTTAGAAATGGGGAGTTCATTTCCATAGTGTTCCATGCCTTGGCATGTCACGTCAGTTTGGGACGGAGTGCCATGTGTTTGTGGCCACGAGGTTCGCGTGGTGTGTGCGTGTAAGGTGTCAGACCAGAAGATTAGCACGTACATGTTTGCCGCGGACCTCTGCTTGACGTTCTTCTTGATGCTTACTTCTTGATCTCACAGGTCGGGCACCATGCAAACATGGTTGTCGTTGGGACACTTTTTACATTTTTGCTTATTGTGGTTTTGTGGGAAATCCCCACTTAACTGCTAACATTAATTTGTTCAACGTCAACCAAGCAAACATTGCTTTGCCGCCCAAAGACTTCCTAATTTTGCCCTCATAAGGCCTTGCTTAGCCCTCGGGTGTTTTGGCCCTGGGGCGGGGTGTTCTTGTGGATTCCCTGAAGAAAAGGAGCCAGCCACGGAAATGAGCCCCACACTTCAAGATTCCTTTCTGGGCCATACGTGTTGCATGCCGAGGCAAGATGACCCTTCTGGTTACCCTGCACGGAGCTATCCGGGACTGGCGCATTGCGGTGATCGAAGCCCAGGCCCGGCCGGGCAACAAGTAGAGACATCATCACGAACTCACCTGAAAGGAAAGGAGGTCTCCCCTGATGAAGGCCCTGCACTGGGGCAATATGTGGGTGCTCCACAACCGTGCAAATCGAAATGCCACGAAAAGGTGAGGAGGCGACATGTTTTCTACAATGCTTGTGTGGAAGGGCGGCCACAGGTACACATGCAACATGTGAATATATGCTCTCAGCCAGGTAGACTCGAACAGTTCTGGTTTGTTGGGGGTTATCGAGAGGAACGTCCATGAAACGTCTTATATGGGTGCTACCCTGCAGTTTAGCAAGGCACCCAACAAACCTTAATATCGAGAGAGCCATCCTGTTGGGGTACCCCTTTTGGGGTCCATGTAGACTTGCGGAGTATGAACCAAACAGTCAGAGCTTCTGAGGGAAGCATGGCCTTCGCTCAAGGGTTATTTTGGCCAAACAGTTGACCACTCAGCATAAGCCAAAAGGACACGGGCCGTTTCTTTGCGAAGAAGGGCAAACCTGGCTCAAGAATCCCAACACGCGAGTGAGGATTTTTGTTTGTCTGAATCCTGATTGACTTGGAATGGCGCCCTCCTTCATGTACAGATGTTTACTCAGATCCTGCTCAAACTTTGCTTGTTCCTCGGCCAATGTCAGTTCTTGCAAGTGAGGTTGATCCTACGCCTGCGGTTTGGAACCCTTTTGAGTACCAAAAGAAAGCGCAAGCGTTGCGGCAGCAGCAACAGCACACAGCGAGCTGCCTTTCCAAGGGTGCAAGCAGCTCGGCAAAGCTGTTCTGTAAAGAGACCTGACAACCGAAGGCATTTGGCCTGTACCTGGGATGACTAACAGGCTTAGCGCTACACGTTGCAAGTTGCCTTGTTGTTTGAATATGATTTAAATTATTATTTTTGTTTCGACACACCAGCATGCCTCAAGATACGCAATTGAATGGAGCACGATTCAGACGTGAGCACCTGTGCCTAAGCATGTAAGCTACCGACAAATAATTGACTCGAGCTCATGCTGAATCAAGCTGTTGGCAGCTTCAGGGGCCATGTGTCTGATATGGTTTCCAAAACCCCAAAGTTTGACGGGATGCACAGCCACCACCTACCCATTATATACAGGAGAGAATACATGTCTACAATTATCCGGGTTTTTCCTGGGGGTAGTTGTTTGGATTTGGCGGAAACCATGTTAGAATCAGAGATCAACTTCACAGTGCCTATAACTTCAAGATGGAGGGGGGTCCCTGAAAATGCCAAAGTTCGACGGACCAAAGGCCCCCACTTGCCAGGCCCAAAGGCTGAAACATACGCTGCTATCGAAGTGGTCCCACTCTGTGGAGCAGGCCTGGTCTGGGGCAATGGGGCGTGGGTTTTCCTGGCCCAAAAGAGCCTGTCAAAGGTTGCAACTGAGGCAAGAAGGCAGCAAGAAGCGCCCGCTTGGGCGCTGGTAGGTCACGGTGCATGCCTTGAATGTTGCACTCCGGGCGATCCTGGCTCCTTTCCAATATCGATTCCTGGCTATAGCCAGAGGATGGGAAGTTCATAATCCTTGTTGATTTTCTTATTGTCCTCGCACGGGTGCATTTCATGTCGGATCACCCGGTGCTTTTTGAAGGCAAAGTGGGGGGGAGCCTCAGCATCCTGTCCAGCCTTCCCGCGTGCATGACTGGACTTGTTTCATCGCAATGAGTGAGTGGTTCTGAAGAATAGTCTGGGTGACGCTCAGTAGTCAGTAGTTGCTGCTCCTGCTGTTGCACGTCATGAGCTTCAGGCATCGCTTGCATGGGGGCGCGAGCTGGAGCACGGCGGCCTGACAAGCATAGACAGTCCCAGCCATCAACTTCCGTTTCGAAGTGAGGCTCGTGTCAAAGAACGAAACTCTTTTTGGGAGGCGTTTAGCCAGAAACCAATACAGGGCAACAACAAGCCTTTTTTTGGTCTGATATTGAGACATATCCAAAGCAGCCAATTTCGTGGCGGCAGAACCATAATTGCTACAGGCCACTGCCAGGAATGCTGCAAAGGCATCGTTTCCCAAAATACCGCCGGGGCAAGATTGTCCTTGCAAGGCTATGTTAGGGTTTGGTCCTCCAGGTGTACAAATCTGGGGATATTCCAGCTTTGTCCCACGGACAAAGGAACATTCCTGGGAAGCAAGCCCTCTCAAAGTCATTTGGGTTGGACCACAACGGGTGGTTTCGGTACCCGCCCTTGGGCCATCCGATACTTAAGAAGCTTTGAAGGCCATTTGCCGATACGGGGGAACTAATTAGGGACATGCGGGCGCCCAACTAATTTCCCGAACTCCGGATTTGAAGGGTCGACATAAATACATGAGGTATGTAAACAGTGGTTATGCAGTTGAAGCATGTACCCATGACTTTCATGGTTGTTCCTCAGGACTGATTTTTGGCATGACTCTAATTGACCTTTGAACCTTCTAGGAACATGAGAAACGTGTTCGCACTCCGCAACAAGAGGACGCCTGTTTGCAGGATGTTGTTGAAGCCTACCCAGTTCCCGGTGCAACACATCCCTTTCGATCATCAGCGCGGGGGAAGAAAGCGGCTTAGGGACAAAAGGCCATGCTCAACAAGAAGGCTTGGTTTGCCTTTTGGTTGGCCCTGAAGAGCCACAGTGGGTTTCCAACCTTCGCGTTCACGCGACCTGCGTGCATCAAGAAAATGTTTGGGAAATGGCTGACCGGCGAGCAGTTGGGTGAGGTGGCAAGTTCCTTCTGCGTGACCGTGATCCTGTCCCACCTAAACATCACTCCCCCTCCCGAGAAAAACAAACAAACATGGGAAACTGATAACATGTTTCTTGCTGGGGTACGTGCCCCAAGCGCATGCCGACCTATCCCGCACCAACATATACACATTCTACACCATACACACAGCTTGAGGCTTTGAATCTAAAAAATCCCTGCTTTGGAATTTCCTAGAAGGCTAGAGGCATGGAAATGAAATGGGGGACCCGCCCTCCCTCTTCAGGTAGAGTCTTAGAGGGATAGTTCGAAACAACAGAAGGGGACTTCTGGAGGAAGCCAGGAATCACCACAAGTGCATCCACTACCGCTGTCTTGATTGGCCCAGCCAAGGGAACAACAAGGCGACCCAGCATATTGGCTGATGAAGCGTGAAGTATGGCCGAACTATGGGGAAGCAGTTCCCAGTCCCCTCTGTTGGGAAGACTAGAACAATTGATTTGGCGAGTCCCGCGGATTTCTTTTGATTGAAGGGGGAGATCCTTTGAAAGTGGGTGGGAACTTCTTTCAGACACGAAAGCAAAAACAGCGCATTTAAATCGTTACTGAGGGCCAGGGTTGTGCATGCCGACTTTTATACCAATTGGGACCGGCCAAACGACGAAGTCTCCACAGCACGCTTCTTTGCGCCTAATTTTATTTGTGTTTCTCTGTTTCTCTCTCTCTCTCTCCCGCCCCTCCCCCCCCCACACCCCGCGACAGACAAATCTGCAAAACGACAGTTTTTGAAGTTCGACCCACAAAAGTGCACAGGGTTGTGCGAGCGAACTGAAAATCGTCAAAAACACAAGTTTGTGGTGGTCGACCCACCGAAAGTTCGCAGAGTGTTCACTGTTTGACAGTTATGCAGAAGTGCGCGCGGCAGTGCCAATGGACCCGTTTCCACGATCGCTCGGAGCCTGCTCGGCGTGGTAACCGAGGTAGTTTGCGCACAGGCAAGCGCCAAATTCATGCATAGGGCCCCGTTTCCGCTCTTTTTCTCAATAAGCAGGCACACTCATTTTCACTTCCAGAGAACACCAACTGCAAAACAGTTCTTACGCTTCCTTGGGGAAAACGCCACTGGAAAAAAAGCCGAGTGCTTCCACTTCCTTTGAGAAAACCCGCCGCCTCTGGGCCTGAAACCGGCCCAGAAACCGCCGACCGCCCCGAGGGCTGAAGAGCAGCAGCTTTACGGCCTGGAGCTGGTCCTGGCGCTTCGCGCGCTGGCAGCGCAAGGCCCAGCGCCGGGTGAGCTTCTCCCTGCAGCGCCTCGCTGATCGATGGGAGCCGAGGGCTGGGTTTTGTGGGGTGGAGACGGCAAGGCACTGCAAGGGGTTGATACATGGGTGTGTGCACCTTTTGAAAGGGTGTGTCTTGATACCTGGGTGACCTTTGAGTTTTGGGGTCTTTCTTTTTTTTGGGGGGCCCCCCAAAATGGCTAAGGTTTTCCTTTTGGCGTCCCTTTAAAAGCCAAGCAAAATCGAATTTCCCCAATTGAGTGAAACATCGGTGATTGGTCGATTCACGAGTGTGACTGCAGGAATCCGCACCAACAGTTCACAGTTCGAGGTGGCGTGCAAAGTGGCTCAAGCACAACTTCCTATGTAGACGATGTGTCCGCTTCAGTAGGGTTGCCATGAAAAAACAGAAGAACATGGTCCACCAACACAGCCCTTCTTAGACTTGGAGGAAGGTCTTATGATTGCTAGGGGCTATTTCATTCCCATGGCCGCTGCGCTTGCCCGGCTTCAGCTTGGCCTGACGCCACCCTGTGGATCCAACCATAGAACCATTTGATCATCTAGTCCCTGTTCGGGAGGTGTTGCGTAGTAGTCTAAACGTGCGCCAGCTTGGTTCGCTAGCCCTTTGCAGGCATTTTGCGCGCCGAGGCGGTGGATGTACACAGCCAACCAGGTCTTAGAGTACTACACATTCCTGGCCTGGTACGAATCATTGATGGAGGCGCTGCGTGCATCGCGTGTTGAGGCCTGAAGAAGGTGACATGCGCCACGAGCTGCGCGAATTCAGGGGAGGGGGGGGCCGCTCGTCCATCGTGTAAGAACGATGTATTTGTGTTGGAAACCATGTGCGTGAGCGGCGAGTGGTCTTACGTTTGGCGTTCTCAATGTTCAGTGAGGCCGAAAAATTGCAGATATCCCCCTTTCTCATGCTGAGATGAGGGCTTGCCTGTAGACGAACTTGGGAAAAGGGAAGTGCAACCCCTTCCCCTCATATTTCAGCAGTTGCAGTCTTCAAATGGTTGCTGCGGGGTGCTACCTAGAAGATGGAATCTCCAAAGCCTTGGAGGAATTTTGCGGATGTCACCAGGAACCAGCGCGACAGGTGAAGCTTCAAGGCTTCCGGCTGCAGCTGGAACACAAGAAGACGGTCTTCCTCAAGGCGCGATTCGCAACGGCCGAATCGGCCGCGGAGCACGAGCTTGGAAGAAGCCGTGTGTTTTTGTTGCCACTGGGCTGGGGCGGTGCCATTTTCTGTGTTTGTTTATTTATTTATTTATTTGTTTATTGATTTATCTATTCGTTCAAGCAAATTTTTTTGGGGTTGCCACTGGGCTGGGGTGGTGTTTGTTTTTGTGTGTGCTTTTTTTGGGGGGGACCCCGCCGCGGTTTCTGGGCCCGAGCTGGGCACCCGAATTCCAGCGGAGCGCCAGGCCGTGCTGGCCTTCGACCCGGAGGTGTCGCAGCTGGCGCTGCGCAGCGTCTTCTACGCCTGGAACTGGAGCATCCAAGCGGAGAAGGCGGGGCTTCGGGCATGGGGTTGCTGAAAAGGCGTGGTTGGTTTCTTTGGGAGGATGACTGGACTGCTATGGGGCAACGGATCTTTAGACTTTAACTTTTTGTTGGAAATCAAGGGGTTTTCCACTAAAACAACAAGAAGTTGAACTTTTTGCAGAGGGGTCAACAGCAACCAAGATACCAGGGGCCAAATGAATGTTAACTTTTTGGCTTAAACTGGACCCACCAGTATGGATCATGTCCCAACTTGAATGGGTTATTTGGAGGATACCTTGGGCCAAATTGGAATGTTAGGATTAAATCGTAGGACCCACTAAAATGGATCATTTTTGTACTTAAGGGGGATCACCCCCTGTTTAGTATGATCCTCCAGATCAATCAATCCGAAGTTAACATTCTTAACCTTAGCTGTTTCAAAGCCATGGTTTTCGGAATCTCTCGCCACAGGAGAAGTGGCTTCTTTGGATCAAGGATTAGGATTGGCCCAGCTCCCCATAGCTCAGAAACACCGCACTTGTGGTAGAGGGCTTCCTTTTGGATGTACCAGTATCCCTTCGGAACCCGGCGGGATGCTGTTTTGCAGTGTCTTGTACATGTGCTGAGGCCTATCACCAACACACCGGTTGCAACATGTATGCAGCATTGGCAAGGCCACGTTTTGTTTGATCCGCCAACTCCACCTTGTTGTTTGGCTCACTCCCTGCACTGAAATGCAGTTCGGTTTTGGACCGATTTAGTTGCCAACAAAAAGTTCATAGTTTTTCGCTCAGGAAGGGAGCTCCTGGCAAACATGATGAACCCAGAAAAGGTTTCCCTTTGTTTACCCAAGTAGCATGTGGCTTAGGCGCACCCTCAAAAAGACATCCATGTGACCAAGAGTTTTCCATGCATTCGCCCTCGGCAAGCATGGCTTGCCCTCGTTAGCTGAACCTAATGAGTCTCATTTTAGGGACATGAGGGGGTGAGAAGCTGACGGATGAATCAAATGGCTGGTTAAGCGGGGGTGTCTCATCTTGGGGCTCCAGCACTGTTGGCGGAAACGCTCCCACAAGGGGGAACCAGGCACAGTGGATGGACAAACTCCTGCACCAGCCGTGTTGGACCAAACCAATAAAGAATTTGGACAAACTACCATAAAAAGTTAATGTTTCGTCGTTTGTAGACACAAACAACATAAGCCGAACAACTAGTGTGGAATGTTGTCCATCCGCAGTAAGGGTACAGGTGAACCTTTCGTAGGCGAGCAAATGAACGGTGCAAATCATTTGCGCAGTGCGCAGGCCAAGGCGTTGGCCGGCAGCTTGGCAATTCCTCGCTCGCAAATTGGGAGAGGTTCTCCGCTCGCTCGTTACTCACGTTTACCCTTGCTCAGTTCAACATGCGGAATAATAGGCCGTCCCAAATAGAAGCCTTTGCACTTTTTGGTGTTTATGCCGCCCTCATGTTAGCTCACCAAGCTTCAGATTCAATGGTTTCCCCTGATTAGTAAAGGCTCCCCCACATTCAAGGATTCAGGGTCGACAAAGTTTGGAGAACCCTCCCCAAATCTGATTGGAGGACCCCCTTGATTTCCTCTCCGGTCCTCGTCCTTTTACTTTCAGGCCCCCCCCCCAGCTAATTGAACTAGAGAACTTCCTTTTGATCTTGAACTTGAACACCTTGTCATGCTAAACAAACTTTAGAAAGACAAATGCATTTTGTGGGAAGCACATTGTCCTAGAAAACTTGAGGGTTTAATAGTGACTTCGCGTTGGTGGGTTTAAGGAAAGGAACGCCCCGTCTCTGGCAGTGTTTGTTTGTCTTGGGGCTGCAGACGATTACCTTTAATCTCCGGGTAAAGGGGGGGGGGGAGTTTGGGGAGACGCAACACATGATTATGTCGAGTTCTTGGGCAGACCTTTTGGAATCTGGGAGGAAAAGGGGGAACCTGTACTCAGGGGGGGCGTATTAATCCTGCGCTGACAGTGCAGGCGCTCCGCACCAAAAAACGCGCCCTTCGGTTTAGGCCCTCGCATTTGTATTTGCAAGTAGTGAGCAAAGTTCCCCTTCGCGACAGCTTCACTTTCGAGGTTGTTGAAGATCAAGCCCGAACCCTCATGCCAGAGGGTTGTGGTTTCCCTTGTAGTGAAGTTTTACTGGGATTAGGGATCCCCCTTTTTTGAACAATCCAAACTTTAGCTACGAGCAACAGTTAGTAGCATCATGGTCTATTTTTACTGTGATGTACTGTAGCAAGGGGCGACATGGGATGCTCTCGCCAACATGGGGCTTGCTATCATGGCACTTGACATATCCTCTTATAGGTTTCTAAAGTGCCTCCTGTCATCCATTCCCCTCCGCTTTCAGGTGCCATGCAGCGACACGAGCGCCGGCCCTCACATTTGCTCGAGAAAGCGATTGCATTTTTGTCCACGGACCCGGTCTTCAAGCTCTTGATCTTCAAGCGATGGGAGGACCTCATGTCCCGCGCCGTGGCGGCATTTCTTCTTGGCGAGGCGAAAGCTATGATGGGGGTATATTTGGGGATGCATTTGTTCAGTTGTTTTGTGTTGCATTTGCTCGCTTCGCAAAATAACCGGATCTGTCTTCAGTTTATCGTGAGCAGGTTGGTTTTTGTGAGCAGTTTGGCTCACGTTGCTACACAGACTCCAAAACCAACAACTTTCCTATTGTGAAGGTGGCTTGATTGTATCTATAAGGGAAGGTTCTACTCCAAACCAAAGCCTCCCAATTTCCAGTTGTTCAGTCCGTTTTCCCTTTTTTTGTTGGGCGGCTTCTCCACTACACATGGTCAGCCCAACAAAGGGTTCGCACCAGGGTGGGCAAATGTGGGCAACTATCAGCTGTGCCCTGGCGACCTGATCATGCATATTGCAGGGCGTCCGAACCATCAAACAGCCACGGTCATATGCATCCCAAGGCGAAGCAACGAGGGAGGGGGGGTGCCTAGGCCAGCAAGCCTTTCCATTTTCAGGAAGAAGAAACATACTGAATCTCTAAACAGGATTGGAGCTGTGGGAATGAGGATTTTTCCCTGCGACAACAAACCTCCTCACGTAAGGAACCAGTAATGGTGCAAGTGTTTTAGCGGTTCCCAGGAGGATGTACTTGGCAAACAAAACTCCTAATTGTAGATTCCCTTTTGGGAATTCCTTGTACCTGTCTGGTTCAGAAACCAACTGGTAAATCTCTATGTGAGTTTTACTCTGTTGGTTGCCTCGTGGAAACAGTCATAAGCTCAACTTCCTGAGTTCCTGGACTTCACCTGGAACCAATGTAAACACAACGGGTCTCTTTGTTCTTGGCCAGTCTATATATTCAAGCAACCCTCAGTTGGTGGTTTGGATTGGTTTGGGGAGTTGAACCCCTGGTTCTTGTAGAGGGTCATTGGGAAACCACCTCCTCAACACCTAAACCACGTTTTTGGTTCTCCCGAGGCTCCTTGAAGCGAATTTACCACACCAATTTGGCTCTACCCATTGGAAGGAAGCTGACGTACTGTGGATGGTTGCACACCACCTAAGCCCTGGTTTCTGATTCAATTCCCCTATAGATCCTGCGGCCAACGTTATGGTTTCAACTCGGTGTCTCATTTCCTTGCTGGCGCCCAGCCATCCGGTTCCTTCGCCTTTCAGCTTTTTAGTGGTTAGTGGTAGTTTCCATTTAACCCACGAAAGCGGGGGATCTGAGGGCAGCCCAGTTTCGGTGCGAGGAGATGGATTTCGCGTCCGCATGGGCTCAAAAGCTTCGCTCCGTTTGCTTCGCAGGCCGGAAGGCCAAGCTCGTGTCAGCGAAGCTCAGGAACCTGGGGGCATCGATGCAGGCGGGGGACCTACGAACTGGCGGCTGACCGGGCAAAGGGGGAGACTATTTGGGGGTAGCCCGCCGACCCCTTTTTGGTGTGAAATCGATTAAACAAAAATAAGACAAAACGGGGTTTTTGAAAACGGTGCGAGAGAAGCGGGCTTCGCAACCATCCACAGAAAACGGGGTATTTGGTTGAGGAGCCCTTTGCGTGGCTTACGGGAAACCGAGGGGAAGTCCAACAGTGTTGGGGTCCCCTTTTCAAAGACACACCCAGGAAGACACCCCCGACTGGATACGACTCGCACCACCTAAGAGAAACCATGGTTGAAACCGTGAAAGCCAGAACGTTGGCTACGGTTGTTGTAGGGAATTGAGTCAGAAACCAGGCTTTCTGAACGGTCGTGCGTGCCCATCCACAGTATGAGGGAGGACCTCCGAGGTCAGGCCTGAGACATAGGCAAAAGTCCCTGAGTTTCTTCACAACAGCCATTTGCTGGAACCTCACCGGCCATTTAAGAACCAGACCATTGTTCTTTTGGAAGCTTTTGATCAGTTCCATTGGGATGGTGTATCCATTCAGGGAGAATCCTCGGCCTAACTGTTGCCTGGCAACTGAACAACGGCCTACCTTTTAGAAACCAACAGGATGTTGCTGAAGCCTTGGGATTCATGATGTGGATGCAAGACTTGCCAGTTTTTGGTCGAAACACGTGGTTTGGTTGTGGCTTCCCCATTGCAAGCAGGCTTTTCTCGTCCATTCACTGGGAGATGTTGGATCTTGAACTCGCTGCGAAACTGTCAAGGAAGCACAAATTGTGGCCTGAACTTGGCAACCCTTGCCTTTTTGATCGGCAAACCCCTAAAAGGGTTCCCTTCTGCTACCCTCCCACCAACATTGCACCTGACAGAGGTCCTTTGAAGAGGAATTGATATAACTGGTAGCCTCCCATAAATGCTATGCTCGTGAACGGAGGCTACAAATTGACTGGGAAAGGGGCCCGAGAAGCTTTGCAGGTGATCGGCGCTCTTGCGCACTATGCGCATGATCAGAGCAATCTGCTGATGCAGTCGGTCGTCTCGTCTTGGCGTCGCAGCTTTGCTAAACGACCCTGATATCCAACGTCAGCACACTGCGCGGACAGTTGTGGGTTGCCAAGAGCACACTCAATGTTGACCTGGACTATCTGACTTGGTGGATTATTGGGGGTGGGGTGCTCCAGCCAAAAGTGCAGACTCCCCAACCCAAAAGGGGAGCCACGTGAATCAACCAGCTTTGTTAATCCTGGCTTCCATATGCATCAAGTACGCTTTGAATCAACTGGCGGCTGCTGGTACGCACCTAAATTGCTGATAGCTCCTGGCATGAACGCCCCGTCCGAATGGTTTAACCCAAGCTAGTTCTGTTTCACCCTTGCTTGCTCTCAGAAAATGTTGTTTTGTCCAAGGAGTAGAGTCACTTGCCCAAAGTCAACCTTTTGACCTGCTGTTTCCCTCTTTCGGTCCACGGTAAGTTAGTGGCCCCAAAAGGTGATCACAGTTTCGTTTTGTGGCCACATTGGCCTTTCAGCTCCTTTTTGAAAAACCACTTTTCCTTGCTGGCGTTCAAAATTAGGGACTGACCCCCTCTTTCAACCCATCCGATCCCCATGATTTCCGTTTTTAAGGTGACCCCTGGCTTCATCCCCAAGTTTGTTCCTCCAATAAATGGCTGTGATGGTCAAAGCCGTATTGGGATCCCATTTTGGGGTAGGTGTTTTTAGGCTTTATTTTGGTGGGGATTTTTCATTCCCTACTGACCAGCAAGTTTGTTCCTCCAATAAATGTCAATATTTGTCTTCACTTGGCTCCACTGCCTGCGAGGCGCTGGAGAAAAGCATCCTGGGATTTCTGGTTGAATCGTTTTGGTTTCATGTCCAGAATTCCGGGGCTTTTTCGTAGAACCGTTGCTGGACAAATCAGCTTTCTTAGCTTTGCGACATCTTGGTTTGTTCAATGAGACGGGCTTTTCAAGGGATGTGGTGCAGCCACATTGTGTGGCCACTTGCCGTTCAGGTAGTTTCAACAGGGAGCCCGACAGGGCAATAAACCACCTGGAGTGGTCCTAATTTGAGTCACACCCACACACACACACATGTCTTGAATTCAAAATATGTCTTGAGTCAATGGGTGCCAAGTTGCTAAATGACTTACGGCTAGTTGTTTGCGTTTGCTCATTACCCTTTTCAGGGTTGGTTCAATGGCAAACCAAACAGGAAGGCCGAAGTCCATAATACGAGGGACACGTATTTGGACACGTTCCGACATGTAGAACCCTGTGGGCCCTTCCGAGGGCTGGTTGAAGTGCAAGCCCTGCGGCGAAGTGACGAGTACACCACCCGCTTCACCACGCAATTTGTCCTCTCCGCCTGGGAGTTGCCGCTGTACCATGGCATCCAAAGTGGATTTAGATTGGGGCGGGTTCTCAAAATTTGGGTCCCCATCCCCGGCAACGCCATTCTCAACTCCAAGCGATGTGTAGAATGCGGGGGCTCCTTCCTCTGCCCACAAAAACATGTAGGGACGAGGCCACCGTTTCTATCGGTTGGGCGGGATTCTTCTGCCGTTGCGCTGCGTTCCAGAGCGACCATCCCAGTGCTTGTCGCCAGCAAATGAAGCGAAAGCACTCCCAAATAATTCCTGAGAATTGAACATTATGCGGCTGCGTTTTTAGCCACTCTAAATGCCTAACCACCACACCCAAATTTGAAGACATCCCAATTCACCAATGAGCTCCCCCAAAACTGCGAAGGAAATCCAAAAGGACCACCGAACTCCATGTTTTGGGCCTCCCCTATACTACAACAGAGCCACAAACCCCACTATGGCCCCGCCCCACTTGGCACCCGCATGCACCCGCCCTTTGCGGCCAGTCCGCGAGTCCGCCAGTCCGCGAGTCCGGGTGAGGCGGATGGTGGCCTTCCAGGGCTGGCAGCGGCTGGCGAAGTGGCATCACTTCAGAAAGCACTGGCTGGGCTTCTTCCGACCCGAGCAGGCGCCCGGATCTTTCGGCACTCGCTCGCCATGGGCCATGGATCCCTCGGATCGGCAGGTCGGGGCGTTGCTCGCGCCGCTTGGGGTCGGTGGAGATGTTCGCGAGACTCGCCGCGGGCTGAAGTTGTTGGGGCTGAAGTTTGTTTGTAACTTATCGCTGGCGCTTGTTCCAGAGTTCAGAAAATGGATGGTAGAATAGAAGGTGATTGGTTACTTGGGTGTCCTTTCTTGGAGTTGGCATCCTTTTTGGAATTGTTTAAACGGAGACTGAAGGGACACTTTTTCTTGTTGGGGTGCCGTGAATGGTTTTTGTTTTCCCCTTTTGCCCGGGAGGAATCGGATCTGACCTTTGATCTCCCCCTACTTGGTCCATTTGTAGTCTTGGCCCCAAAAGGGGATCACCTTTATTCTTGGGCCTTCTAGGCAACTGAGTTGGTGTTGATACTTGAATTTCAATCTTGCTGCTTTTGCGGACCACTTCCCCTCCCGGAGGACATCTGGTTCTTCCCCAAACAGCCTAGCTGTTGGGGTTCTCTACACCTGGAGCTTGTCTCCCCACTTAACATGGCTACAGGGTCACAGTCACTCAACAACTGCGCCTATGGTTTTGATCCTCCCAAACAAGAAGAAGGGCTCAAAAGCTCATGGTATCTTTTCAGTTTTTCCAGTACCACGTTTTGATTGCTGTTGGGTTGGATCTTTAGGCTTTAACTCTTTGTGAAATCATGGGAGTTCCACTAAAGCCGCAAAAAGTTAAACTTTTTTGCAGAGGGGTCAGCGGCAACCAAGATATGCTGATTCGAGTTTCCCTCACACATGCTGAGCTCGTTGCCCCTTCAACATACAGCCATCAGCTCGCTTTGGCCAGGATCTGGTGCCCATAGTCCGGGCCTGGAAGCAGATGGTGAAGAGAGGCACTGAGAGCCAGAAGATCAATGTCCAAGTGGAGAAGATTCCCGGCCGTTTTCTGGGTTTTGGGAAATCAAGATGGTTTTGTTTGAGGCCGTTTTGCTGGTACTCGACGAGTGCAAACACCCTTCCATTTGCAGTATTCTGCCTATTCAGTGGCGAGCTCACCTGGCAGTAAACCGAACTCACCATGACAAAGGTTCTTTACCTTGGGTTCCTTATCATTTGCCCAGAAATGTGTATTCTTGCGAAACAACACTGTTGTTTGCCGCCCAGCTCTCCAACAAGCTCTCTGTGCTGCTCTCTCCCAAGATTCCGGTGGTGTCGCCCAAGATCTGGGAAAACAACCCCACACCTGCTATTTGTCGAAGTGATGTTGAAACATGAGCCAGCAAATTGTGGTGAAATTCTCCCGGAGATGCTGAATTTGAGCAGGAAGTCTTGGCCAAACCAAACGAGGCCTGTCTGGCATGAAGGCGCTTTTGGGGATGGTCCACACCGACACCTTCTGCAGCCTGCCCGTATACCTGCGAGCAGGCCTAAGATGGGAAGCACCTTAAAAGGGTGTTACTTCTGTAAGGTTACACTGAATACTCAGCAGGAAGATCAAAGTTTGCCAACATCACAAGACCCTAATGCTTCTTCGAACAGCTGCGAACCCTCATGGAACCTAGTTATTGGTTGTCCTGTTCTGTGCGGACCTAAACAGTCATTGCCCATGATGTTTTGCGGCCACTGGCTCTGTTACAAGAGCTCCTCCTCACAATCCCTCTGGCTCCATTCATCGGGAAAGAACACCGGGCCAAGGGTAATTGCTCGACGGCGACCTGTTTGGAAACTTGGGACATCCCCCTGCCTTCGAAAAGCAATCTGCAGAACAAGATGTAGGAAGCCTCTGGGAGGGCTTCTAAACCTATCCCCCAGTGACAAACGGACCACCCTGGCGACGCAGCTCGAGATGGGTGTGCCTTGAATCAGGAAGCTTTTTCGTTGTTGAATCAAACAGCCAGCATTTCCTAGCATCTTAGTTCCGCGATGGACACATCGCCAACTTGATTGTCTTGAAGTTGAAGCATCAGTGGCTTGCAAGGAAAGAGCTTGACAAGTCCTGGTTCGTCTCCTTGCTGTGCTTCGTGTACTGGACGCTCGGCGGAAAATTCATTTGGGTGTGTCGCTTGTAAGGGTAATCCCTGTACCCCAACAATGCGTAATCCAAGGGGTGAATTATGCATGACACCAACATCCCTCGTCCCAACTTGATTAGGCGTTGTGCTACCCTAGCCATTCATGAAAGCGTCCTGGGTTAGACCCAGGGTTTTTGCCAAAGGAATTCGCATGGACTCGCTCTGGGACTTTGAGGATTCAACGTGAACAGCTGCAATTCCAACATGCGAACTATCGGTTTTAACAGACTGCAGCCGGAGTCGGCGGGAAGTATTGTTTAAAAAACACTTGTTCAATATTACCTGAATTCCAATCCACTTTTGTGCAATGAGGGGCTGAAGCAATTCAACATACTCGTACTATTAATAATGTGCATTCATAATGGGAACGGATTGCTCTTGTTGAGGCCCAGCAAGTGCGAAGGGGCGACAGAAGCATTGGTTTTGCATGAATCATAGCCGACTTAGAGTAGGGTAAAGCCAGGCCACTTTCCACGCTGAGTTATTCTAATGCAGACCTTAACGAGTCAGACCTTAAGGGGTGTTTTGCTCGTTTGGAGGGGCTTTGCTCTCAAAATTGAAGCATAAACTTGAAGCACCGACAAAGACATTTCCCTTTTTTGTCTGGCCACAGGTCTGGGATACAGTCGAAACCCAATACAGTTGAGTCCGAAGTTCTGAGGCGTTTGAAGTTGAGGCGCGCGACTGACGGGGGAAGGGGGCTGTGTGTGTGTGTGTGGACGGGGTCACTATATTGTCCCACAGGGAGTGGTTAAAATATCACTTGGGATCCTCGTTGTGGGATTTGTTCAGATGTACCTGTGCAGCACCCAACAGAAAGTGTAGATGAAGGCCATCTAAATTAAAGTCGTGCACGTGGAATCCCCTTATCTGCATTCAGCGATTTTTTCCACACCAACCGGGTTCCCATGTGATTTCTTCAGCCAGGGCGCCATTTGGGGTAGAAAGGTGTGATTTGTTTGGTAATTACTTTCTGCACTTATTGGGGTTGGCTCTTGGATGAAGCTCGAAATGGGTGGCTTCCCGTTGGTTTCCCTTTCCACCCCAAAAGGGTAATGACCCTCAAAAGAAGAAGTTCACCCCATGAGGTGAATCAAAGCCGCATGTTTCTCTCAGCCTTTTGGCCCGGTTCCCGTTTTTCAAGCCCCTCCCGTGATGGCACGTGCCTGGCTGGTGGTGGCGGTCCTCCTCCTCGTCCGAGAAGCCCAGGCGCAGGGAAAACAGATGACGATGTGGGTGTGCGTTGGTTGGTTGGGATACCCTTGTTGGATGCTAGGTCCCCCAGTAGTGCCCTTTCTCACCCCTTTATGGGGGGGAGGGTTCCCCTACTAAAATAGACTACGGAAAAAAAAGAGTACCCTTATTCTAACCTCTCTACTGGAGGACCTAGTGGATGGTTTCAAAGGAAATCCAAACGGAAACCATCCATTTGGAGAGGAGGACCCCCCTAAACACACCAACATGCTCCAGGGTCAGAATCAAAAGAGCCCTCTGGGGGTTGGTACGGATAGTCACGGAAAAGTTGGGATTCTGGACAAGGATTCGAAAGGTGCCCTTTTTCATAAGAGTCCCCTTAAGCTCACTGAGGCGAATTGACCGGATCTGACCCTTTGCTTTCCCTTTTTGTGGCGTCCCACTTTTAGTGGCCGTTGTTTCCCCCAATGGTCATCCCATTGAAAGCGCCTTTTGACCAACCCCCACATGTTCGTCTTAGGGAAAACATACTGTTCCCCCCGGAAACGTGCCACTGGCCATTGGAGGATTTTGCAGCCAACCCTACAACTTGCAAAGCGGGAAAAAACACAGGCCCCTTTGGCCACTCTCTTGGAAGATCTGTCTAAGGAAAAGCCATCAAACAAACAAAGAACGCAGTAGCAGATCCAGTTGTTACTAATCTAACTCAAAGGAGCTACCAGCAAAACAGAGGGGAATGGAAACCCATTTCAACAGGGAACGAAAGGCAAAGTAATCCGGGGCCCCGAACGATAAATACACCCCCACTAGTGAATCGCCCCCCTTTCCGTTTTATTGACCCAATACTAAACCACCTCTGACAGTCCTTGCTACAGTGTAGTTTCTGCGTTTCTGTTGGATTAGTAGATTGGTGGATTCCAATTTCTGGTTCTTGGGCTTAAATGTGAATCCACCCCCCCCAGCTTAGAAACTTACCCCTTAGGCCCACCTTTTGGTTTTCCTTTGAGAGAATGTCTCGCCAGGAAGTCTTTGTAGCACTGTCTCACGGGGCCTCTTCACGTTCGCGTTCCCGGCATCGACTCCGAGCGGCAGAGCCGGAGTTGGTGGAGATGGTGGAAGAGGCAGCTTGCGGTCAGCGTCCGCTTTTGGGGATGTGCGGAGAATATGGTGATAGCAAAACTCTTCAAAGCAACATCGCTTTAAGACATACTGTGGATGGACGAAATCCTGCACCACTTTGAAACCACGGGAAACCCTTGTTGGTTGGTAAAACCAGGGGAATCATCATTCCAGTGCTTCTTCGGTGGTGCAGGAATTCGTCCATCCACAGTATGGTTGTACCAGAGTATCCTCCAAACTTTATACCTTTAGGGCCACTTTCTGTGGTACCAACGAAATCACATGAAAAGTGCACAAGTAGTCACGGCGTCATGGCCATGACCCATGTTGGTATCACAGAAAGTGCGATTTTCCGCAACCATGTTCGGGCCCGTTTTCCAGACCTCCAGTGGCGCCTTGGTTTCCTGCCGGCTTCCAGTAGGAAATAATATCAAGGGATAGGGAACGAACAAGGGCGATCCCCTAAAAGGAAAGCATTCGTTTTGACGTTGGTATGGATCACTCCTTCGCTGTTCTTGGCATGTTTTTTTTTGGCTTTTTAGTTTTTTGGTTCTGTTCATTTTTACTCGGTCTGCAAAAAACGAGGCTTTTTGCTACCATACCAAGAGTAGAGATGGATCCCTTGTGAACCCATGGCTCAAATTGCCTACCTTTAGTGCGACGGGCCACACTCCAAGCGATTTCACAAGGGGACCCGGAGGGAACACACAGACACAAGACACCATCCCCGCGGTCGTTTCCCCTCCTGTATTAAACCCGTATTTGCGATTTTTGTAGGTGATTCTTCGACTTGATGGGGGTTATATTAAAGCTTTTGCTAAACCTCTATAGCCATGTTAGAACCCAAAGTCATGGGTTTTGGGCGCTGCTGGTATGGGTTGTTTCCCCTGCCAGGTGCTGGCAGAGGAGGGGGGCGGTGTGAACGCTAACGGCCAGACGCTGGGAAGGGCGGAGATGTTGTTAGCAGCGATGGAGGCCCAGAAGAAGGTCATGCAGCAAGAGAAGAAGGCCGGGAGAAGCAAACGCCTACACCGGTTTGGGCCAATGGGAAGCCCCCTGACCCCTGACACACCTATCCAGACCACCAATAGGGAGCTGAACATCATTGGCATGTTGTCAGGCAACCTACTGTGGATGGTTGCAACATCCAGTTCGCACCACCGTTCAGAAGCCGTGGTTTCTGAATCGATTCCCCTGATAGCAGCAAACAATGGCTGCAACCATGGTTCCAAAGTGGTTCGAACGGACTTCGTCCGTCCACAGTACCACATGTGATGTATAGCCCCTGTGTAAATTTTCCTAAACATGGCCTCCAGAGTTGCATTTTCTTGCTTCTTGTTTGGAGGGGGATTCACGTGATAATCTCTCAACTACCCAAAAAAACACATGTGAGACCCTTTTTTCCTACGGCCACTTGGCATTAATGTGCACCATGGGTTCACCACCCTTTCAGATGCGACATCTGGGAACCTCAGGTTTGAACCCTCGCAGCGGCCGTATTTTCACAGACCGGTCGCATTGAACAGAGGTTTTCAAACTGTGGATGGACGAAATCCAGCACCAAATTGAAACCATGGCAAACCAGTGTTTGTTGGTAATTACATCATCATTCCAGTGATTATTGGGTGGTGCAGGAATTCGTCCATCCACAGTATGGCCCTGGTATGATGTCAACTTTGGATTCGTTGACGGGGGCATCCTAATCTGAGGCATCCTCCTGAATTAACACTTCTTCTTACCTGGAACCCTGAGATGAGGGAGGCACTAGGGCCATCCTACCCTCCAGAAAGGTTCTCAGCTACCTTCCTTCCAAGAAGGTTCTTGCACGCGAGGGGGGGGGGGTTCCTTTGTTTTCTTCCCTGCAACAACAAGGGGTAACTTCCGAATTCCTTGCGTGGAACCTTCGTTTCAGAAAGCTGCCAAGACGTGCCAAGAACCCAGGAGAAAAAAGACACATGTCTGAAGAGAATGGGGTTGCCACCCCACCCCACCCCACCCCACCCCACCCCACCCCACCCCACCCCACCCCACCCCACCCCACCCCACCCCACCCCACCCCACCCCACCCCACCCCACCCCACCCCACCCCACCCCACCCCACCCCACCCCCCACCCCACCCCACCCCACCCCACCCAACCCCACCCCTGGAGGTCACCGGGCCAGCTCCCTCTGCTGGGCAAGATGTCGGGCAAAAGGCTGTTAGAGGAGCCGGGAACCGGACGCTGGACGATCTTTTTGTTCGAACCCACGGCTTAGCATTTGCTCGGCGAGGGAGGGAAAAGTTCACAGTTCCGAATGAAGGGAAATGGCCAAGCAAACAGGGATCTTCTTGAGACTCATGTCAGAAATCGAGGTTTGGAAGTTTGGGGGCCAGACGCAAAGGGTATGGGGGCAAAAGCTGAGGTAGCACGGGTCCAAAATTAGAACCATGCATGTTAAGCATGGGTTTGGGGAGGATCAAGCAACGATCTAGCAATTGTTTGTTTCGGCTGGATTCCCCTTAAAGACAAACACAGGAGGTTTTACTTCCCTGCAAGCGACAGAAAGGCCCAAAACAGTGGGGTCCTCACCCCACAGGGAAATGCCGTGCCAAAACATCCAATTGTGTGTTGCTTTCCATGCGACACTGTTTGTTGTTCCGTTTCGGCGCATTTTGCGCTCCACATTGAATGACAATGAGGTTGTGAGATGGTTGTTGCTCGAACAGGGGCCTGCTGGATTTCAGCCTTTTCTTGTTGGGCATTTTCTTATCCATTTAGCTGCTAAAAACGGCCCTGGAAACCAGAACCGTGGGAAACACACCAGTTTGATCAGAAGCAGGTACGTACAACTCGCTTCCCGTTCGCAATCCAGCCGACCTTTCCCAAGCTTGTGCTGCAAAGACCTTTTGGAACCACAGGGAAGGTCTCCTTAAAGCGAGTGAACGGACTAACCACGAAACATTATTTTTAGCCTGAAATGGCCTCTTCGCACCCCACCTCTGATGGAAAACTTACCGATGGTGTGGCAGAGAATCTCAAAGATTATTTTCTGTGTACCTCAGATTTGTGCGCCAGATTTGCCCTGAACTCTTCTTCCAAAGGATTGCTTCCCAACAAAAACATCCGCCAGCTGAGCCCGGATATGACGACGAGCTAAGGGCCTCAACAGGATCGATTGCAGGCTCTTTTGAAGGACGTGGTTTTCCCTTACCCCCATTTTCTTGCTGGTGCTCGGTAGGTAGGGAATGAGCTTCCGGGTATTGGGCATGAATCCCGGGGTCCCATGAGGAAATCTACATGGATGATTTATAGTGGTCATTTTATTTCTCACTCCCTGCCTGTCGCACCAGCAAGTTGCCCTCCCACCCAATTTTCGGGGAACCTGACAGGAGGTCCCTTTAAAAGGAACGTGGTCTTCCACCCCCCCCCCCGAACGTCAGGTTCCATTTTTTTGTGGTGGGAGGGTACATGTTCTGAACATTCTGTTCCCCTTCCTTATTTGGGGCTTGCACTCTTATTTTTTTTTTGAGCCAACCAACCAAGCAGCCAACCAGGCCCGCCAGGACGCAGTGCCAGCGCCATGAAACCCAGAAACACCCTTTCCAGGACAGGGCTCCTTAAAAGATACATTTTGCAATTTTGAAACATGGCTTTTTCCACCAAAATAAAAGGACACCACCATTTACAAGGCAATGTTCAGGTGTATAATGGATCCCTGCAGGAGTACGCCCTGGAGGTCCAGACCTCCGAGGGCAGCAAAGAGTCCACGAAGCGCATCCTGGGAGGCATCGGTAAGGCCTCGCAGGCCCGGAGCGCGGCAAGAGCCGCGCTCGAGGATGCGGCGAAGCAATGTTTTCCACAGGTCGATTCAAAAGACTACGGCCACATCTACCAGGACCCATCCGTTGGGTTAGGATTCAACGGGGGAATCCTCCCCCCGAAAAATAAATAAATAAAAGACCAAAATGATGGTGGTTCTTCGGTTTTTTTTCCCAAAAAAAACAAACCCTAAAAGGGGATCTCCAGGAAAGAGCAAACGTCCACCGGTGGATATTCGTGCCTCGGTTTGCTGTTTCTCTCGGGCCGTTTTGGTGAGACCCCGGAGAACCGTCTTTTTCGAGGAACCGCTGAACAGTAGCCATCTCGGCGTCAACTGTTTGCCCTGCCCTGCAACCGAGTCCATGCTTCAAGCGGTTTGAGTTTGTTGGCTTCAAGTTGCACCAGGACCTCTACAAGGCTCTGCCTGAAGTTGAGCATTCAGGTCCTGGCATTGCCATTTCCAAAGGCCTCAGCGCCAAGCAAAGAAGCTTGATGCTCTGCTTGAGTGCGAATTCAGCGACTTTCCTGGCTGAGGTGGATGCAAGCCCCTCAGACTCTGCTGGCGTTGCCAATTAGAATCGACGAAAAGAGTCCTGCGCTGGGATGGGGTCGGACAGGCTGGCACGTGAACTGCGTGTGTGAAATCTTATCAAAGAGTTTCCGTAAGTCTTTGACAGATCCTGCATGATTTCGAGGACAAGTCAGAGATTGTGGGGAACTAGGAAATCCATCTGGGAGACCTACAACATGTTACCACAACAAAAGCCAGGGATTTTACCCCGTGGTGTGGTCTACGCCATTCCTTTTGTCATGGCTTGGGCCAAGTGGTGCCTCGTGACCTGAAAAAAATATCCGCCTTTAGGCCAATTTGCAAGACGAACAAGGAACCAGATAGGTAGAGAGATGGGCGCACACACACATACATATACACGTACGTGCGACCAAACAAACAAACAAGAAGCACGATGGACAAACGCAAACAAAGTAAGTACTGTAGTGGCATTTTGGGAATCATGTCCCATGTGCAGGGTTACACATATAAAAGACAAGCAAGAAGGTGATAACAATGGAATGGGATTGAACAGCCCTCGCCAATATAATGGTTGCATGTACCGGGTTAAGTCGTTTTGAATTATCTCCCGGCTTCACCGACAGTCCAAGCGCTGCATTCATTTGCCATTCTGCTCCATGTCTACATGGTAAATATGTTGATGTCGTATTTATCATATCTTTTTCCAAAGAAATCAGACAGCCAGACAGGAAGACAAACAGAGGAGCAGACAATCAGAGAGACAGACAGACGGACGGACGGACAGACAGACAGACAGACAGACAGACAGACAGACAGACAGACAAGCAGCCACACAGACACAGACAAACAAGCAGACACACAGACATGCAAGCAAGCAAAGAGACAGAGACAGACAGAGACAGACAGAGACAGACAGAAACAAACAGAGACAGACAGACAAACAGACCTTCAGACATACAGCCCCAAGCCGTCAACTGGGCGCACAAATTATACCTTCATCCAACGCTTCCCTTGCCCCACTTTCATTGCCAGGCCAAGTGCTGCTGTGGTGAGCTATGTGCCCAAACTCGCGGCCTGGCAAGGAGTTGGTTGGTCGGTCCGTCGGTTGCTGGTTGGTTGGTTGGTTGTTTGGTTGGTTGGTTGGTTGGGCGTCTGCTGGTGGCTTGCCTCATTTCCGATTTGGAAGGTTGCTCAAGATCCTGTGAAATCCAAAGGGGAAAGGTTCAAAGAGTCCCAGACCTCCAGCGACTTATGGTTTTGCAAGTCGCGACTTATTTATTTTCCCAATTGCTGACATTGATAGTGAATGCAGACGTGGTTGAAAGGGCGGTGCTCGGTTTGGTTGGGATTCCTTTCATGATCTGGAGGTCTTGGCCCATGGGCAAACCTGTGGAGCAACTTCCTCCCAGTAATCCCAGTTGTCAGGGAATGGTACCGTTCATGGAAGTTTGTTGCATGCTTGAACTCTGCCTTTCCTTCGCGGCTTCGGAATTACTCTTATGCTTGGACTTTGCGCAGGGCAGGGACCCTTATAAGTTTTTACACAAGCCGCGCCATGTCCCCGAGGGAGGGACACAGTTGCCCCCTCCTTTGTTCTCAGAAGCCTTCTGTGAATCAGGTTCGCTGTTCTTCCGGAAAGGGTTGCAACCCAACCTCTCCAACTGCGCTCCCCCTTTTCAGGCGAAACAGAGCAGCACTGCCCACACCGCTGGCCCAAGATGAATTCATCAAGCGCAGTTGGTGCTGCATTGGTCTAACATCACATCGTGACCCTTGCTGTGTAAGCAGTCCATGTTTCTTGGTGGTTCCCGGCCGTCCGGTTCCTTCTAACCCACTAATTCAACCTTTGGCAGGGATCAGGAAACGGACAGCCCTGTTTTTTGGCGGCCAGCCATTTTCTGGTAGGCTTTTGTCACGTGTGCCAGGCCGCACCTTTTCACCAACATGGGATATGCAGGGTAGCTTCCTTAGCGCCATCCATGTTTGTTGCCAGCCGCCTTGGGTATCTCCCAAGGCCACCAAGAAGTGTTCATTTCCACAAATAGGGCTTGCCACCCCTGGACAGCCTCGGAAATTGGAAGACACCTGTGTTCACCAAAGACTTGCTCTCTTCGCGGACCCCGAACCAACCAAACAGAAACAAGCCACGGGATGCCAAACCTCCCATGTCCATCAAAGCTGGCGGACGATATGACAAAACACACATGAGGAAACCAGAGGCGTTTGGGGTGGATCAGGGGGTTGAATCCCAAGAAAAGCGGCGTTGCCCGCGTGTCACTGGAACGAATTACCTGCAAGCAGACATGATTCATCCTGTACCCCATACATTCATGTATGATTTGTACTGCCAGCGGAAAGATACTGTATATCTGTCCATTCCCACCCAAAAAAGAGGTTCCTCAAGGGTCATTCTCTTTAACTATGTTTTTGAAAAATCGCTTGGGGTTCCTCAAGTGGCTTCCCTTTATCCCGGTTTCTAGCCCATAGGCCCTACTTTGGTTCCTGGACGCCCCCATCCCTCTAAACACCCCGGCGGCCGCCCGATTCCGCGAGGCGCGGTGCCAGGCAGTGGCCGCGGAAAAGCTTGCAGAGGCAGAGGAGCCAAGTGCACTGCGGATCGAGGTGAAGGTAGATAGCCATAGGTGTCCTTTGTAGGTTAGTTTGATCAGAAATACATGGCACTGGTTTAGGTGGGGTTTCTTCCACTTACCAGGCCACCTATGTAGATAGCGTTGGTTGGTTAGTGAATCGGTCGGTGGCTGGGTGGGTGAGTGGCGAGTGGGTGTTTGTTGGTTGGTTGGGTTCGGGGTTGGGGTTGGGGTCGGATGATTGGTTGGTTTATTGGTTGCAACTCTAGTGGGACATTGTGCCGGCAAGGCGTCAGGCCTCACTTAAGACCAGCATGCCATCAGGAGAAGTCTGTGTTCCTCATCATGTTCCACGCGTGGAGGGCGGAGCTGCTCCATTGCAAGAAGGCGAGCTGGGGCGTTGGGAACGTACCTGGCGGGTGAAGAGAACAAGGGGCCAGGTGTCCTGTCTGGTTTTGGCTGGGTTGAGCCTTGGTTGAACCCGCTGGTTTCAAATTGGAGCCTATCAAGACGTCGCTGCTTGTTTGCCCCACCAACTGGGAGAACAAGCTGACACCTGGCGCGCGTTGGAAGCTGAGGCCATCCCAGCAAATCTGTGGGGTGGCCCTCTACTTGCAAGAATTGACGCTGTAGACTTGCACTAGGCATAACGAGGCCCATGATGAAGGTTCCTTACTTGGGGGACATATCTGGGGGTGTGTTTCCTTGAGGGTACCTATTTTCGGTTTCAAAGGGAACCCAAAAGGAAGACCACCCTCGACCGAAGGATACCGAAGGCAAGACTGGGTCGTCCGGGATTTGGCAAGTTGTCAGAGCTAAAGTCGCTTTTTAAACTCTGACAGCATGTGCCGTCTGTAAAAGAGAGCTAGGGAGCCTTTCAGGGTCCCTCATGTTGTCAACCTATTGTCAGCTTGGAGAGGGCGGAAATCAGCCACTCCGGGCTGGAAATGAACGTCTTAGACCACCAGAGCAGTGCGAGATTCATTTCGCGCAGCTGAATCAGAGTTCGTGTCAGTGCCCCTTCCTTTCTGACACAGAGAGATGTATCACCTACTTCCAATCCACTTGGTCTGGGCCAAAGGCAGGTTGTCATGTCTGGCTTCCCCTCCCGGTTGTATGGAGTCGGTCTGCATCTCCAAGCGGATTCAGGGAAACCTTGGGCTGTTGGAAGCTAGGGAGTACCGTCTTGGCCACCGGCACGGCTTTTGTTGTGGAAAAAGCAAAGCACGAGAGCTCCCCAGGGCTCGCCGGGCCAAGGCGTCACGGACGCCAAAGCAAAGGTAAGGGCCAAAGGCTTCGGGCGGCGAATTTCTGCTGGACGCAGGACCAGCAGCACGAGAAGGCGGCGAAGGCCGAGGAGAAGGCCGAAACCCAGGGAATCCCAGGGACACCTCCGTCAACCGTCACCCCCTTGTCGCGAGGAATATGTAAAAACAAAAGCCGTTTGCGTTCTGAGACACATATATATATATATATATCGAACTAGGTATCAAAGCTTAAATGTCTTTCGGAAGAGCCTTTTTTTCCCGGAAGTTGCTGGCGTTGAGGTTTCGCGGCTGTCCTAAGGCGGAAGGCATCCATCCACCTTTCGTGGTCGACCCCCGCATATACGCAAGGCTTTGTCAGTTTGTCTTGTTTGATGCTCCATGATTTCAATGAGGTGCCTGAGTTTGTCCATCCATAGAAGGGATGCGAGTTGGTTTGAGCAAAAGCATCACCGACTGCATAGATGTGTGCTGGCCTAAAGGAGAAAGCCGACATGAGTAATCCAAGTGTCTCCCCTTGGTTTGCTCTGGCTCCTGACAGCTCTTCAAAAGCCTGGCGATTCCGGGTCATTTCTCCGTTCCAATGTTTAAGAATTTCAGGCCATGAATTTGCAACTTGACGATCACTGCCAACTCGAAGCTAAATAGCAATGTACTCTCTTGCGGGGTGAGCGTACACCTAAATGAGTGTATATAGAGAACACCTGCAAGCGCTTACAGTTACGCTTGTGGGAAGCCCCACGGAGATATTTTTTTAGGGAGACACGTTGGTTCCCCTGAGTTTATGAGACCTACCCCGATGTGCACGCGGAGCAACCCGCCCGGTGATTTCACGCCTCCGACTTTGGAGGCCGCGATGCTGGAAAAGACCATGAAGGCACGCCCACTTAAGCCCCCAAAGCTGAGGGCTTCAAATAGACCTTGGCAAGGCCAAGGCCAAGGCCAAATACTGGGTTGCACTCTGAGACATTTTTTATTTTTGCGGATTTTGCTTCACCCTTTTTGGCACTCAGCGCTGTTTGGCTGCGCCTCAGGAGGGACACAGAGGCCCACATGCACAACGCATAACGAATAAAGGAGCCAATCAAAGCAGATGATAGGCCCCAACTTTCTCAAATACTAGACAAGAATCTTTGAGAAAAATAAGGTGCTCTCTTGGTGGCATGTTTGAGGGGAGGGGAGATAGCCGTTGCAGTATTGTGTGTTCCCAAGCGACATCAGTTTGTAGTGACCGTTGTCTAATGCTCAGCGCTCCCGTTGCGAAAGCAGGGCAAGGGCATAGAAATGTGAGTATTGCATTCTTGTCGACGGACGCCTTTCCCCCCAGCAACGTAGAACACTGAGAAGCGCGGCAAATCGACGCGTTTTTTGCCCAAAAGGGCAGACACGTTTGAGCTCCGCGCGCGGATCTGGCTCTGGCTCAGTGTCTGCCGCTATGTCTGGTGGCTTGCAACATAGACTCCCTTTTAGCCTCCAGAGGTCCACAAGTTGTTTGTCGAGTTTGCTGCCCAAAAACCCAGCTCACTGCGCGCCTTGTCGGAGCTGCAAGACTGGTGTCGGCCTGATGAGGGCTGGGCCACTGTGACGTACGACGTCCCTTGGCAGCATTGCGTCATTCGCATCGCAAGGGGCTGCATTCTTGTTTGTGGAGACGTTTGTCAGGTACGCGCCCTGGTGGCCGTGGAGGCGGGCGACACCCCTCGCATTCAGGATTCAGGAGGTGCTCGGGAACGAGCAGCTGCATGCCGTGATCGTCATGCTTCAGAAAGCGGCGGCTTGGCGAAGGGACATTTGATTCTCGCTGGGCCAAACTTTTTGAAGGGCCGCTGTTTGGGGGGCTCAAGATACACACACACACACACGCGACTTGGGGCAACAAAATGGCTAGCTCGTCTTCGCTGGTTACGCAAATGAGACGCGCCGCCGCAGAAGAAGACTCGTGGCATCAGGGCGCAGTCACAAGCGCGCGGCCATACAATTGCGCCTGCCGAGAGGTTTCAGCTGCTCCAAAGCGCTTCTGCTCAGGGCGGACGCGTACGGCAATAAGCTTCGTTCTTGACACGTGGGGCAGCTCCTTTCTTTCTTTCTTTGCGCGGTTCATACGCAGGGCCTCCGCTGGGCTTGGGCTGTTGGAGCTGGTTGTTTCAGGGTCTTTCGGAAGCAACGCTTGAGCGCCATGCCCCGCCGCTCCCGCGTAAGCTCTGGTTGGACTTTCTAGTCCAGGCCTCGAAGTGCGGAGACCAAGGTGTTTTCGTCATCGCGCGTTAGGGAAGCTGTGCTAGAAGCAGTGGGATGAAGCACGCGCCAGCACGGCGCACGTTGCGCTAAGCGCTGCCCTACACAGCAATCTCTAGGAGCACCTCACATCATAGGCTTGGGCCGGGGTTATATATCTCACAAGCAGACGTCGCAGAAAAGAGCTTCGTTGCACCGACAAGCGCGCCCCTGCGCTGCAAAACAGGAGCAAACCCTACAGCCCAGAAGATACCCACAGTTGGTCTCTAACAACAAACCACTTCTGCGGCCCGGCCCCCCCCGAGACCCGGCAACAAAAATCAGCGCCACCCGTGTCCAACAAGACGCACTTGGGATGAACATCTACACAATGGCAGCAGCGGGCACCTTTTTTGAGACGCAGCCTATGCAAGCCAACTCTACAGACATGACAATGGCGCAGCTTAAAGGGATGGTTTCCAAAAGTTGGGTAAGCCCCTCGCAGCTTGGATGGATGCGCTATGTATAAGCCCCCGTCAACAATAACCTTTACGCATTACCCAGCTAAGCTTGTCAGTCAGTAGCACGCCGGCAGGCTTCGATAGACCTGGTTCAAGGGAGAAACCTTGCGAGCAAAATGCCTTGCGGTAATACTTCACTTTGAAGCACTTAGCACACTTGGATGCCCTTACTTAGACATCCACTACTCACTAACATTCTTTGTGGACATGTCTGAGCCTGGGGGATGCTCATAATTCGCTTGGTCAGCTGACGGAGCTTTTCGGAACCCGTAGGCTCATAGGTCAAAGAAGCTGGGCCACGGCCGCTTTACCGCTGCCGAGACGCTGAGTGGTCTGGGAGCAGACATCGGTAAGGCAAAGGCTGTGTCGCTAACGGGGGGCGCGCAAGTGTCTTGACAGTTCGGAGTCGGCTTGCTGTCCAGGACTAAGTTTTGTTTGCGGAGTGGCCCTGGTGCGACGCAGTTGTGTTGACTGAGAGCCAAGGCTTCTGCGCATCGAAGCTCTTGCTTGTCACTGCAAGTTTCTGCATGCATGTTGCTTTTGCTCCGACCCAACGAAAGCTCAGCGCAGCATGGCGCACACATGGGGCCACGCGTATGCCGACGCGGCTGTCCATGCGTCGGAGGCATGGCTCTTGCAGCAAGGGCAAAGACTTTGCGCAGGATCTTAAGGCCTGCCTCACAGACAGCTTCGTCGCGGGGCCTATGGCACGGATGCCTGCCGTTTGCTACGGATTGCTCGGGCATGGATGCCGCTGTCTGGGCGTTGGAGGCGATGTCAGTCAGCTTCATTCAACACAGGGGGGTCTGATATTGGCTGCGGAATCAGTTCCAGTTGTCTGTTTTCGGTTGTTTGTCGGACTGACACTGGTGCTGAAAGTAAAGAGCAGAGAAGCAAAGAAGCGCCAGCGACTGATTGCCTCGATGGCGTCGCCAATTCGGGCTTTGGTAGAACAATGTGGCAAGGGCTTGTGATGCCTGTTTTGTCTTGTGACACAGCACGCGATGCATCTAAGGACGCATGGCGCGCCTTGATGGCGATGTTTGCCGCCGTGACCTAGATGCTCTGCCTCAGCTTCAACGCGGCGGCTATGCAGCCGGCTTCCCATGTCAGTCGTTTTCGCCCGCTGAGTCTTGCCTGAGACGCAGCTGGTGAAATTCACAGGCGGGTCCCTTTCAGATTTTTGCCTTTGTTGACGCACGAACTTTCCCATGTATCCGCCATGGACTGCGTTGATGTTGGTGTGTTTCCACTGCTCATACCATTGTTGAACCATCATTTCGCAGCTTAGCGCCAGGTCTGCTAGGCTTTTTCAGGAAACCAGCAGCCCAAGGCCAGAGGAGGGCTTTCCTTCGGCTGAGCTTTTCTTCAATGAGTTTGGGTCAGGTGTCGGCTCATCGAGCAACAGCTATCGCTGCCGTGCTTGAGCCATTAGGCGTTCGTTTTTTTGTCGAAGGTGGCACGTGTTTGGGAGTCATGTTTTTCAACTGCAAGCACACGTTTGTGCACGAACGCATGGCTGGCTGCCCGCAGGTTCACACTTTCATCTTTGCTTATCACTGGTAGCGTTGGAGCTATAGAGCGAGTTCGACTTGCACGGGTGGTGTCAGCAATGCACGCGAGGTCAGAATAGGTGTGGCCCTAGCCATGCGTATTCCAAAGTATGCCGTGTTGGACACAATCGATGCAAAGCTGCCACAGTGGGCCGTTCTCGTGAACTTGGTGGGATGTCTGTCCTGGGTCAACGAAATCAAAAGGCTGATGAAAGAGAAGTTGCGAGGGCAGTACCACCTCGTAGCGGTGCCTCAGTCGCATGTTGCATTTTTTCATGCCATTTTGTTGGACAGGGTACGACGACACCAACTGTAACTGGAAAAACAACGCAAGCTTCCAATCTATGTTGGAGAGCTCGCATTTTCTGTGCTTGGCAAGGCCGCGCGGTTTTGGGCCTTTCTGTTCGTCAGATTTTCTTGAGCCTGTTCGACGTCCACGCGTTTGGTTTCTTTTACTTGCTGCGGGGTGCGCTGTGGCGGAGGATGCAGAAGGCATGGCGGGGATGGCATCTGCAATCTTCTCTAGCGTGCTCGCTGCAGCAGCACATTCATGACTGCGTGCAAGACAGCCAGTTCGGGCGGACGGTCAACGCACGAGAGAAAGAAGTCTTGAAGGCGCAGGCAGGCCTTGTAGCTGCCCATCTGAAAAAGAAGACTCTCACAGTGGATGTTTCACAAAGCAAGGAGTGGGCAAGGTCTGGCGTCGATATGTTTCCAACGTGGGCTATATATAGGTCGAGCAGGCAAAGGTCTAGTGCTTGGCTGCGTCTTTAGGCCTGATGTACCGGGAGGGCCTGCTGCCAGTCGCACGCAGCTTTGCCAGCCTGAGGTTCTGCACGCCTTTCCGCCAACCCTGCAACTGCCGACTTCTTGCAGAGAGTCGACGCTTTGTCGCCTTGTTGGCAACACGCAGCACGTCAAGTGTGCGGCGGTGGCTCTGTGTATGGCAATGAGAAAGACAGGGGTAGGTGAGCGCCAGTCGCCTGGCACAAAGGCAGCGGCGCACATGTTTCGCTTGCTGAAAGGCCTGGATTCAACCACACTTGTTGTCCGAACACAAGACCGATTCTCTAGACTAAGGGAATAACGTCTGCCACGGTGTTTGCAGAGCAGGGCGCGCCAATCGTTCGAGAGCGAACGGCGTCAGAGATCAAACAACAACACCAGCAGCAACAGCGGCAACAACAACGACGACAACGACAGCAGCAATAACCACGACAGCAAGAACAACAGCAACAGCCACAGCAACAGCCACGGCAACAGCAACAACCACCCAACCAACCAACCAACCAACCAAGCAAGCAAGCAAGCAACCAACCAACCAAGCAACCAACCAACCAACCAACCAACCAACCAACCAACCAACCAACGACACCAACCAAGGACACCAGCAACAAAAGGAACCGCGGCAGCAACAACAACAGCAACAGCAACAGCAGCAGCAACAACAACAACAAAACGACGACGGCGACGACGACAACAACAACAACAACAAAAGCAAAACAAGCAACAACAGCAACAGCGACAGGAACAACAACGACAACAGCAACACCAACACCAACAACACCAACAAGACCAACACCAACAAC